TTAATGTTAAGACTTATTGCTAAAGGACTGACAAATGTTTGCACAGTCATTTGTAAAGCAAGTATTCGGAAACCACGAAATTCTTTGTCACGGTTCTGTTGCATTTTTCTTTTTTTATTAAAGGCAATAGTTTAGACAGGTTACCAAACGCGTGTTCATATTATATTATGGTGCTACAATTTTCCAATTTTCCTTTTGTTCTTTTTTTTTCAATTAGTTCTTGTATGCTATGTCCATTCCAAATAAAATAACATACATAAATGACTGAAAAATAATGTAGATATAATTTATACGTATGGAGCCTACGTGCGTTGGCGCTACTATTTGCTCGTATCTAATTTCTCTGCTCGGGTTGATCGAAGTAGATATTGCGTCATAAGTACAATTAGCGCCCATCAAGCCGATGCTTGTGGGATGTTCCGGATAGAAAAAGTGACCATGGATTAAGTGAATAACTTATCCGGATTCCTTTGCGCTTGATGATGATATCATTCGTTGACGTTCTGAATCCGGATTATTTCTATTCTAGTTTATAGAACATGCGTGTTAAAAATATTTTGTAACAGTAAAGTAGGAGTAATTGAAATGACAGCAACAGCACAACATCCGTTCAGTTTTATATCTTAAACGATGTTGGGCCGTTGCCCTTTACCTCTGCCGAGAGCAAAAACGAAATTGCCAGATAAATTCCTAGTACCCGGAGGACCGAGCTTTGCTCGGTTTTTTTTTTGATAAATCGTGTATTTTGGAAATTACATTTAGATACAAATTACTGAGCAATGAAATATGCGTAATATTTTTCGATCTTACCGACCTAATAATAAGAAAATATGAAGTGGCGTTTTTCACAAAAGAAACAACTTTAAAAAAGTAACAAAATAACAAATCGACAAAAAAATTAAAAATAAAGAAAGTAATGATCTGGAATCGAAAAAAAAGTAAAAAAATAAATGTGTAAATGATCGTGACGCGAACCACGGCCGTCAGTTTTGGGGCCGCCCGATTACCGACCGAGCTATTATGACATTTTCTTTTGCGGCGAAATTTACCGTCATATTCGAATTATATTTTTCATTCCCTGAAAACAGGGATAAAAGGACATTTTCTAAAAAGGAAAACTTGGTAAATTGATTTTTCGCCCCCGAAACTACGCACATACTAAATTTCATGAAAATCGCTGGAGCCGTTTCCGAGATTCCAATTATATATATATATACAAGAATTGCTCGTTTAAAGGATAAGATTCAATCTTGATCTGGATCTGAAGTTAATCTGAATATTAAATATTTTAATATAATTTAATTTCACAAAATTTGCAGTAATTTTATTTATCTTAAAATCAAGATTTTTTTAATTTACCGAATACAATATAAACCATAGCTGTTAACCATATTCCTTCTAAAATCTTGTACCATTGTATCACTTGAGAAAATGTGGAGCGGGGAGTTTATAAATATCCGGTTTTTGACATTTGAGGTCGTCGCGTCGTGACACTTGAATCCGGGGTTTTAACGCTGATGCCGCCGGAAAAACCGAAGCAACAATTTCAGTCCCGTTCGCCCTCCTTACAAAAGGATCCGTGGAGCTTGCAATTTTTTACACAAACCCATTCATTCATTACCTTGCCGGCCCGATGTCTTTGTAAATGAGTCCGTAACGTTACCGCCCGGCGATGTTTCCTGACTATCGTGTTAACCAAATGATAAATATCAACTCGTCCTTTATAAATACATGTCAATTGTTGTTAAGGTCGTAGTTTATGGAGACTAACTTCATGTTGTTTCTGGTAATCTACTTTTTTTAATACCATGTATGAAGCTGTGGAAGCGTGACCTATGTTTCTCTAGCGTATTTGGTTGATTGTGCATTTTTCAACTTGATATTTTTAAGATAAGTAAGTGGGCTACGCAAAATGTTTTTTTTTATTACTGTCTGTCATATGATGATAAAAGTGGTTATTAACCTACATCTTTATGCTGGCAACGGTGTTTCTAACGCTACCTGGAAAATTATCACGAAAAAATAATCTGTTAAACGTTTAAATATCGCAGAGTATTATTTTTATGTTATGTGTCAACGTTTAGGTTATAAACCCAGTAACTTTTTTAAATCTGAAAGCAAAATGAGACAACAATGATATTTCGTATAAGGGAAAATTTATATATTGACTCTGCTCATTCGCATATAATTCAATGAGGTCATTCAAAACGACCTTTACCCATGTTGGCAACATCGCGGCGCGAAAAATTTTCGTTGACTCAATTTCGTAATAAGAATCTTGCTCGGTCATACGGCGCATTGGTGTCAATATCATACATGAATATAATACAGCTCTGAATAATTGAACGTTAAAACAGCTGTAGGAAGGAAAATCTTTGATTATCGCTATCCAGGGTCAGGATAAAGCTTGCGAAAGCGTGCACTGAATAATAACCTATAAAGATGATGAAATACGGTATAAAGTAGAACAAGAACGTGACCCACCATTAAGATTGCCGTCTCTTAAACTATTACGTGCCATAATGGCGGTTAATATTGAAAATCCGAACCCTTTGTTTGGCATTCTGGAGGATTGGTCGAGCAGGGCCTACTCGACCAACTCTCCATTTAAAAGATAGATTGTTAAATTTAATGGTCGACCTTGCTTTGATTTATAACCACTTAAATGCATTTTCAACTTAAATATCCGCTGTAACTTAAATGTGCAGAAGTGAAACTGGCAACTTGTATGTTGCAAAGAAATGAGGTGGTAGGAACCATCCAACTATTGCATAACGGAAAGACCGATAGCCAAGAACCACGTAAACCGGAAAAATATTTGTTTATAACAATCTGGAGGCTTCTTATTGATTACCCTGTGACTCCAATAAGATGGCCTACGGCGAGACATTCGAAAATATTTGCGACGCATTTCACTCGCAGGTTAATTGCACCAGTGAAAGTTTCTAGTATCTGCACATGAATTGAAAACTCTTTCAATTTCAAGCTTGCAATTTTTTTTTTAACCTATACAGATTCTCGTTTACTTGGGTTAAAGTTGTGTATTAGGTGAAAATAAAAAACAAAAGTTACGAGTACTAAATTTTGGGCCAACCTACAAATTTTATCGAGAAAATCGTTTGGTATTTCGTGTCGGGTGTACGTCCTCACCTCATGTTTAAACACTAATTTAATTCGATGGTACTTCATGGCAGTTTGTTTTGTGAGGGTTTAAGACATTAGGTCGTGTTGAATTAAAAATTAATTAAGACGCTCGTTTTGAGTTCTTTACACGAGCTGGCGTAACCCTAAATTTATAACTGCGTAACCCTAAATTTATAACTGCGTGTCCTAGTATTTGCCTGATGGGAAATTGGAACAAATGGGTAATGTTACAAGGTTTCTACATAATATAAGGGAAGGATAAGATTAGATTATAAACCTATTATGCCGTCCAGTTGATGCCACGAAAATTTCTGTTTCTAACTAAAACCACCAATGTTTACTATTACGTGATTTATGCTTATGTTTTATTTATGAATTGTTGTGCAAGCTCCGCACTGGACCCTGAACCGATACGATTTATTGAGGTTCCATTAATAAACTCGAGACATTGATTGTCCAATGAATGCCAGTGTGATTATAAATTGTCCGTCTTTTCCTCAAATTCGGCGTCGTCTGCCGCCGTGTGCCGTCTGAGACTAGACACTGTTCAGCGCAGCCCCACTGTGCGTGGATAGGAAGTATTTGTCGTTATTGAAGTAACCACCGTTTTCGGCCCACACCGGTTTCGTGGTAATGAGTGCACCGCACTTGCCTGGCTGGATGCGCGCTAGGTCCGGGTGTTGTGAAATGTGAAGGCCGCCCGTCGATGGTAGCTTTAGTCGTCGGTCCCTGCGCCATTTAATTCGGACCTAATACAGCCACAGGCTCCAGTCGTCGCAACCTCGCCGAAACTTTCCGCACTTTCAATATCATCTTGGTATTTACTATTCATTAACATCTTGCCTCGTGATAATAAATAATTGTATAAAACACTCGGCATCGCCGATCGTCGGATGTGGCTTCCATGATCTTATAAACGTCCTTGTATTCCTTACTTTGGTATTAAATGGGTTGGGTAAACAGTATTTAACTTGAACCAAGCGAACCGTTTATTAACTTATTTATAAGTTTTGGCAATAGTGAAGTCATCGTTCCGCCAATGATTTCATTTAGTAGGACAACCAATATTTTACCATACCCATTTATATAGGGTAATAGTGAAATATAACAGAATAAATAGTGGAATATAAAAGAGAATAAGGTTTTCTAAGCAAATATTTTTATGAGCACCCCTTTCGGAATATTGGATGGATATCGCATATCACAGAGCAGAATAATGTCGTCCAATATTTGCTCGATAATGTACCATTAGCACTCAAGTGTACACGGTCAGTGACCAACCACGCTAGGAATATGTAACAAATGACTAGTGGACTAGTCCATTCACCCTCTTTTATTTGTAACCAGGAACTTATATTATTAGGGAAACCATAACTTTCAAGTCGCTTTAATATTATCATCTTCATTTTCTTAATAAATTTTGTCTCATGTTCAGTTATCATAATTACTGTTTATAGTTTTATTGCTTAACTTTATGCGCTTATATTTTTTTTTTCATATAATACGATTGAATTATTTGTTTTATAGTGATTATCTATAACTTCAGATGAAATTTAAAATTTTTAGCAAAATTTAAGATTGAATTAATCTGGTTCAAAAATGTCATATCAGATTTTATTACTTTCAAAAACCAGAAGCTCAACAACTCCCTTATATATGCTATTTTATTAATAATCTCCACGACTATAACAGACGGAATACATTAAAACGAAGTTTCTCACAAAAGTACAGATGATATGAAAATGGTTCGCACAGAAGCGTCTTATCTCGGAGTCTCTATTCAATGGACGCTACATGCGCGTTTCCTACCGATGTATACGACTATATCAACAATGCATTGTTTTTATATAACTCACCGGAGTTTTGGTATCCATTGTTACTATTCCTTCGGATTCCGCGCTCGTTCCTAAAGGTTTCACACTTATTACGTCACTGAAACACTGCATTCACTCGGTCCACATGTCTGATTAGGCCGTGATTTTAGGTTCAGCTCAGGTCTTCGGCTAAGCCGTCTCGAGTTGCCTCTCTCGCCCTCTCCGTGTGGCCGGCGCTTAACACGCGCCTGATCCAAGCGGCAAAGCGACTAGAGTCGTACTGAGAGTGTTGCAACAATCGCCAACGTTTATATATGAGGTTGTATACCGCGGCTGTACGGGCGTATTTTTTTTTTAAATTCAAACGATGCGGTCAATATCTTACATTTAAAACGACAAAAAAAGAACGTTTAAAGGAAATTCGCCTCAATGCTTGTTCGAGATTTAAAAATACTACATTTCTCGGATACGGATATAATTAAGGCGAGTTGTTTTTTTTTAATTAATAAAAACTGCTCCGCGCTATAACAACGATATTTTTTTTAAATTTGCACGTAAATTTTTTGCTGATACGACATGACAACTACTCGAGATGAGGAGTCGACGCCACCGTTTCTACTCAAAGTGTTTGCCGATTGTCTAATACGGACGGGAAAAGAAGTCGAAGAAGCGATAGAGTAGCAATGTCATGCGACGGTTACTCGTGATGGCTCCCTCGTGAAGCACATTGACGACACTTGCGCAACCGACCGCGCGAGGGCATTCGCGCATAGGCCATTACAGGACTCGGAAAATGAGCTGGCACCGCCTTGGCTCCATATGCGACATCTAAATTACTCACACCGTCCCAATGGTGACTTGTATGCCCATCCAATGTTATTGCTTTCGTTATCTTTATTCGAATAGACCTATAAGATGTGATTACAATACCTGTTATAGAATATCAAGAATCAATTGTTTGCATACGGAAAACAAGGTTTTCCTAATGAATCTAATATATTATCTAATAGTCAAAACGTGGATGATCGTCACAAATGTAATACAGTTTATGTTTTCTTTCTTTAGTCGCAAAATAAGCCTGCTCATAATGTTTAAAGAAGCCTCAAAAATTATTTGACGTGATAATTAATGGTCGATGTAGTATATGAAGGGAAGTTCTTGCACTCAAAACTAAATAAATTTGGGTGATGACGGGCTATATTTTTTAAGGTTTGATTTGGTAAGGTAAGGTGAGGTTTGATTTTATGAGAAAATTAAGGTATAGGGTTTCAAACTAAACTTTTGTGTGAAACTTCTTATTGTTTTATATTATGATTTTTGAATCGTATGGTACTTTGCACCAAACTAGTAAAGATACGGCATTGGCTATTCATATGAAAATAAAAAACTAAGTTAAATGAATATTCAGATATGCAAAAGAGGATATATATCTTTAGTTGAGATTCAATACCAATAAATCCCAAACTCCAGCTTCCATTAGAACGTGGCCCGTAATCGGCGAGTAATCGTGCAAAGGTATTATTATAACGCGCCGCGGTTACCACAAGGTTTTTGTGAAAAGTAACTCGTTAAAGCAACAAAAGATTGAGGCTTGCTTAATTTTTTAGTCTCACGTTCGACTTCAGGATTAATTAGAACGCAATTATATGATCAAATCTGTCATATCTTTGCTCGGTTTAATATTCTGCTGTTTCATTGCTCTGATTGAATATTGAAATAAAAACTTTATTGGATCCATTACATTATTGGGAGGATCATTAGAGGTACATAGATATTAGACTTGATATTAGATCAAAACACAAAGTGAATCATTTTAATCTTGGGCATTAAATCTATGAGATATAAATAATTCGTTAAGGCTTTTAAAGCTACCTAGTCTTATGTCCTTAAGTTTAGTCACTTATCTGATGTTAAGTGTTCGCTTCGTGTTAAGTTTTGGAATCGTATTATGTGTGAGATTAGATTTGATCCGTTTTTGATATAGTCTTTGTCTCTCGGTCAATATTGTAAGGTAGTTGCGAAATTACAATTTATAATAAATACGTACGCTGAATAGTTGCCACAACTAATATTAAATTAATGTGACAGAATTTATTGGTAGTACATTGACACATGATTACAAATATTTCACGTACATCAAAACAATATTAATGCGAAACTACAAAATATGTACTTAAACTTATGACGTCATTCACACCGACCCATAATTTTAGCAGTCTTACCGCTGGGTTATTGGCCGCCAATCCTTTATAATGGTGCAATTCTTGTAGTAATAATGCAGAAATTTAATGCTGAAATCGAAACTTAATTTGTACGCCAAGTTTGCCGCGTGGGCTATGATATCGTCTCAGATTAAACTTAGCCAAGTGTCTGTGGTACTCCAAAAAGAGCATTGCTCAACGCATAAAGCACAGATAACAAATCATGGAAATATCGAAAAACCTAATTTGCGAAACAGTGAACGAGCGTAATATGTTTGTATGTTTTTCTCTTTATAACGAAATCAATGAATTAAAATTATTGCGGTGATTTACGCGGTAGACTATAGTAAAAAGGGCGAGGTTACTTACGATATCGTTGAACCAATTTTATCGCTCGTGAAAGGCTTTGCAAACTAAAGCTACTAGGTAAACATGCATAAAAGGTTTACACCGGTTCACTACGGATTGCCGAGATTTGTCAAGTTGTACACAATATAAGATTTACTTAAGATTATATGTGTATATTTCCAAATGCTTTTTGATTCCCTTTGTTCCTATTGTTAGCTCGCGGCGAGATTATTTAATTGCCTCGTTCCGTCTCCGTTTCTATAAGCAACACAAAAAACGAGGCCGTTTAAAATTCGTTATGGTTCTCCAAAAAGATTAAAGCAAGCTTGTGGGCTTATTTTTAAAAGAAAATCGTATTTTGGATGCATTTGTTTGAATAATGCCTCTAAATCCTTAGTATATTGTAACATTTTCATTGCATAGAAATATATACTATATGTAAGGTGTTATAAAATAAGTTGGAGCATACATGTTTCTCTATAATAATACGGAGCCTGCAATTTTTATAAAATTCTAAGTTTTTAAACAGCCCAAACCTACGTTATTTATGTATACAGCGGAACGTTCATCGTGACAAACTAAACCTTTTAAATATTGGCTGACAAGAATTGTGTTTGTTTGAAGACTTTAAATTACGCCGATGCACAGTTTTTGTGCGATAAATGCTTTGTTTGGTTCGGTGCTATTGTTATAATTAGTAGAAATTATTCTACATATGCCTGGTAGGATAAACGTGACGTTTTCAAGTTTGTAGTTTTTTTATTTCTTAAACGCCTTAAATTTGTTAATTCTATTAGATTTTGCTTTCTATATGCACTTTCTAATTACATCTTTTATTTATGATTACTTTTTAAAATGTTATATTATATGTGTTGTTTTTGTTATGTTCAAGAATAATAGAAACTGTTTTTATTATACTTTCTAGCTTGATTTCCAAACTATTATTTAATAACCATACTATTGGTTTTTCTATATTAATATTTATATCCATTTCATGATTAGCTATATCATCGGCAAATAATATACACTAGTGATGTTTGTTACTTTTGAAATACCTTGTGGAAGGGGAAATTTATTGATATTGTATTCGGATGAGAACAGTGTCATATCTTTTTTTTTTCATTTAAGTGATTTTAATACGTCAGTGCTTGTAAATTAGTCACTTGGAAGATATCTATTGAATTATAGGTACCCGGATACCCGATTGCTTCTAATTTTTGCTGTAGTAACTCGTATGAAATAAAATCAATCGCCTTTTGATAAAGAAAAATAAAAATTTTGGTGAGTGCTAGGAGACATAGCCAATTTAATATTAAGAGATGTAACATTTTTACAAATAAACTGGTAAAGGATATAAATAAATTTTATTAAAAAATATCAAGACACAATTCAGTGAAAAGGATAGCTTAGTGTCCGGGCCCTATTTCGAATCTCGGTGCCTTCACCGAATGATATTATTGTAATCTTAAGGTCTGATTCACTATGTGATGATGAAAGAAAATATATATAGGTGTTTAATAAACCCAAAAATAAATCCAATTATAATTAAAACTTTCGATCAACGTGGCGCAGATAAGGCGTGAAACTGTTGACGGTCTGTACTAAGGAGGCCTTTACTTCTGTTACACCAGTGTTTTTCAACCTTTTTCATAACACGGCCCCTTTAGTATGAAGAAATGTTTCGCGACCCATTGCTTTCTTTCATGTTTTTATTTTGTGACAAATATTCAATAAAACATATTTATTCATTTTCATAAATCCATCCATCGAGTCGGAATACTCCAAATTTATTTATGTTCCGGAATTCCTTTTGAAATTGGCTTTATTTCTAATTTATTTGAGACTTTAAATATCTCGAATAAAATTATTCAAGGGCGGGATGAAAATGACATCACCGCTAAAGACAAAATCTATGGCTTTACAAACAAAATTGACTTGTGGACATCGTCTCTAAATCAAGACCACTTCGTTTTATTTTTTTCGACACAGTTTATTATTGAAGGAGTCTGATGTGAGATAAACATCAAGGAATTTATACCTGGTACGAAAATGGTCTTAGAAAATTTGAATGAAGAACTCACTTCTCCTACTATACTTCGATATACTTCTCTATATATCGAAGTATACTGGGCAAAGGTGGATCTTAAATTCGTTTTTAAATGCAGCAATAAATGATGATTTCTTTGAAATTGCAACCCAGCTCAAGGAAAATCTGCTGCATTTATCTGCTGATGGGATGCTACAATTGGAATTTAAATTTGGATATATTTTGGTTAAGAAGCAAATCAGAATACCCAGAATTAACAATAGTGGCCTAGAAGTGGTTACCCAAAACAAAAGTATCTAAGGAAAGTAAGGTAAGAAATCGATTAATTTTGGAAAACGATTTAATTCTCAATGTAGCAAAACCGAATCCACGATGGGAGAAGTTGATTAATGAAAAATAAGCACAAACTTCTCAGAACGAAGTTATTTTTTATTTTTTGTTAATATGATACAAATTTTTAAGATGGAAGAGATCTCATATATTCTTTTATTTTTGGTACAAAAAATTATGTTCTTTAGTAAACATTTATCTGAAACCTTTTTAAACTTTATTATTTTTTTAGCAGTGGCTTTCCTCGCTTTTTTTCATTGCTCACGAACCCCTTAAAGAGGCTTAAAGAGAGGGGGGTCGCGACCCACACGTTGAATAACATTGTGTTAGACACATGAAAGGCCTTTACAACAGTAGAAAGAAACTTATTAATAACATTCAAGTAGAACGTAAAGAATTGTTTTTTTTTTTTACCCGAAGCCCTTAGGTTTTGTTTCATGTACTTACAGAGCTCGTTTCTGTACTCTGTACACTGGCAGCAGGAAGTTTTGGCAGGTGCTTTTGGAAATTTACTAGCCTCGTCACTTGAATATCGGATTTGTAATCAGACAACAACAGTATGTCCAATGGAACCTCGTTACAACGTAAGATACAAAGAAAAATCTATAAGAATGTATATCATAATATTTCGTGTTTTGTATGTATACTTGAATGCCGTATTATCGTCAGAAATAAATTTTATTTGGAAATTTAATAAATAACAACAAGTTAAAAGAAAATCACTGGTAAAAGTTAGTTTATAATAAGTCATCATCAGTGTTGCGTCCATATTTCCAAATAACCACATAATTGAGATTGCCAAATTCTTATTCACGTCATTGGCAATGTCAGTTTCGTTAGGTAAAACTATTAAGACAGCAAATTATTTTATCTATAAAATTAGAAGGTTTAAGTTTTAACTCAGATAAGCTTTGAGTAGTAAAGCTGTTGTAATTATTGATCGGTGGGGTTAACCGTATACTTCGCCGTCTAATGTATGTGTAGAACTCTTAACGTCGTCAATATGTACTTATGCGTTTCCTTGTTTGTTTCTGACGCTTTCCTGTAGCATTTATCTGATTACGATAAAATTTGGTGAGTCAAGATCTTACCTGCGAAGGTTTGGAGTCGGGTAAAACTGAACAAAAATAATTAATGAAATACTGAGAGAAATTACAAGTTAATAATGCTAAGGAACTAAATGTGATAAAGGTTAATGACACTTATTACGCTTGTGATAGGAACTCAACTGCAAAGATACTGCAATTAGAATATGTAACGTAAAAGGTTGATGCTAGTTGCAGAGATGGTTACGAAGAAGAAAAGTTATTTTGGTACATTATATCTAATGTATAAATGACCGTGTGGTTAAGGACATTTTAATCGTTCAGTATATAAATTGCGTGAGTTGCATCTTCAAAGAATAGCAATGGCACTGAGAATATTATTTTAGTGCAATAAACATAATGATTGGACCTTTATCCGTTTGCGTCGTTCGAGAATACGGCCATTGTAGTTTTTATTGCAGATGCGCTATTAAGTATGCTCAAAGGCCACACCAATAGCACGTTGCGGGTTACATAAGCGTGCGGCTTGATTAATTCGTCATATTAACGTTATTCAAAGCACAATGTTGCTGCCGAGTCCGGCTGGACGCAGATTTACGTCGTCCTTGCGTGGAATGCGAGGCCATCACGCACCGCGGTGGCTCGTGTTCCTAGGCAATGGTCCCCTTGTGAAACACAATAATTGTCGTTCACAACAAAGTATCATTCCGTATTCCGTACATGTCATTATGACGGCATCGCACATCCCGCGCCTCGATCTCGGGCCGGCGTCAGTTCTAGGCATCAACATTGTAATCCTCGCTAGCGACTAATTTCCCTTAGTAAATGAAACTAATTTTTACGGATTTATCGCGTTTATTTTTAATTTTAGTTTCCGACGTTTCGAACCCTTTACAGCGTTCATGGTCACGGGACAGACTCCCTTAGTAGTTTGATTTTACTCATAATCAGATTTCAAGTTTATTTTCCTTTTTCGGTTTACAGACCGTCAACGGTAGAGTGAAGTAAACTTTACCGTTTACTAATTGATTTGAAAAGAGAGCTTTAGTTGTTTTTTAGTACATAAAAGTCAGATAAAGGTCTAGCTAACTCTTCTTAATTTCTTTGTCATGTTTATGGATTTTATCTTGAACATTTCGCGTTGTGCTAAGTCGAGAATGCCTATTTAATTAAATGGAAAACAGCATGTCTACATTTGATTATTACACTTATGACACACGTCTATTTTTAATCAAGACATACCTTTAATATTTTGTAAACATTATTCCGACGGTAAAAAAAGTTTAAAACAAACATACTATACTTGAGTGTTGATGTATGTCGGTTCCAAAACATGATGTTAATTAAATAAGAAAAAAAAAAACGTCCATACTACAACTGCCGTTTTAACAGCTTCCTTACTTTTTTCTTTACTTGACATATTCAATATTCAATAAATAATTCTTGCTAGGCATAGGTATGCAAGACAAACCAATTACCCAATTAGGTGACAAACTCATATACAAATTGAATCATATAATAAAAGTTTTTGGTCCAAATATATGTCCAAAAAGAAATATATGTGCCTATTTCCTTTGATAAACTACAACCGTTACATATCATTTGTTTTGTTTTGTACCGGCACTTCTTCATTCGAAGATGGATATTGAATTCAAGTTTGTATAAGTTTGATTATTACGTAATACTATTTAATTGCAGTAACTTTAAAAATTAGTAAGTTTCCACATTAAATTATGTCTAGTATAATTGAATTGTTCAATATGTTACATTTTATCCTATTAAAGTTGTATATGTATAATAATTTCAATAAATATATATTTTTACATTTGTTCAAAGAAACATGACATGTTTTTTTTTCTGATATTTTGTCGACCGATATAACCGCCATTAATCAAAAATATTTTTACTTGGTAGAAATAAATCAATAAACTTTCGAAGCTATAATTCTATATTCTTAACACGGTTACATACATTCAAATTATGTCGTCGACCCTTTGATTCGCCGAGCATCATAGAGACTTTCATTTTCTTAACACTGCCGTCACACTTGCTACCAATCCTCATCACCCGCAATGTGTCTGAGTTCAATGATCATCATAATATTGGCGACTGTTTTGTAATTAATTCAGTAAAGGCCCATTTACACGGTGCAAGTTTCTTGCCTGTTGTATACAATTAAATTGAAGCAATAAATGAGTTGCATGGTCTAAACAGCACATAACATTCTTGACCGTTGAACAAAACTTGCTTCAAGTTTTGTTTCAAAAACTTTGGTGTAAATGGGCCTTAAACAGCACACACAATAATTTCTTAAGCAATTCTTGTATTCAATTGCATTCTCTCTTCCTTTGCAAAAATTTGTGCAATGAGTGAGGGTATTTAATCGTGGCTGTTCTTTTGAGGAAAGAAATATTGAGAAAAGGTCGTAAAAAAAGTTGGATAAAAAAATGAATTAATATATGGATAATAATAAATAAATTTCAACGAAATATATTTAATCGGCATAATCTAACTTGAACACTTATTATTGAGCCATTTTTTTTAAAAAAAACAGCCCTTTGTAAAACGTTCAACACTTGCATGAAAAATTTGTCAACGCAAACACGTGCAAAACTTGAAGCAACACGCCAATAAATTGTACACGCACATACAAGCATGTGTTTAGACAAGTCAAAACTTGAAAGCAATAATCGCCTAAACATAATTGCATTGGTGTAAACAAAAGACCTTTGCAATTATTTCCTGTCAATTATTTCCTGCATACAATAATCGCATTCAATTTTTTTTACTATATCTGCGTGTAAACTGTTGCTTACAATTCTTGATGGTCAATTATTGCGTGCAACTTATTGCATTCAATTATTGCTCTTGTATATACAAGAAAATGGCATCGTGTAAATGGGCCTTAACAATTCATCGTGCGTCATTTGTTATTTTCTAATAAACAAACTAAAAAATACTAAAGCAATATTTCGGTAGTGGCCCTCAAGAGTATTCATTTTATTCTTTCCTTGTTATGCGTTGTGCAAAAGTGCTCATATCAATTTGTCCTTGCGGGGTCAATATCTAACCAATAGTTAACCTATATAAGATTCGGTCCTAATCAAAACATAAGACGTTTCGTACGCTACTAACAGATTTTCAGATTCTTTCACGCCGCCGTTTGTGTAATCCGACATCCTTTCCTCGGAGTGTCCAAGGAAAGTAGAGCATGCGCTCCCTGGCCAAGTTTCAATAGTCAATGGCTCTCCACTTTTTACCACGCTTTAGACATTTTTTTCCCATCCGATCTCTCACCCTTGCAGCGGAATATACGCGATTCCGCAAATGGAGAGATATGTATACGACGATGATACGGAAAAGTAATGTTATTGATTCTCTTCCGCTAGAATCCACCTCGCTTGCAGAGCCAGGAGAATGCATTTCACCCACTCTCCTTCGCAGCATTTGTCTAGCTTACATCAACAGAGCTGTCGACACATCCTCTGTTGTTTGTTTCTTCCCCTCCGATTTAAATTGGATGAACAAGTGCCTTCGCCAAGACTGAGTAAGAATCAATATATTGAGAATAAGAGAGGTCGCCATTTGTTGTTCTCAAAATGATAAAAAATAAACATCGAAGTTGGCTATAATTCCAAAAGTTTTCTAGTCTTCAAATAAAAAAGCTATGTATTCGCTTATTATGTTCTTTAGAAAAACATATAAATTTATTAAATATTATGCACATGAGTAGTAGATTATTATTCTATGTTTTATTTATAAGTTTATTAATGATAAATGCGTATTATAATGATGTAACAAGGCGGCAAGGTCTGAAACTGCTCGAAAATGGTCAAGGTGTGTAATATTAGATTTCCGGTGGTTTATGTAAAATGTTAAGATGATAGGATTTTATTGTTTCATTTAAAGACCGAGATCAGAGATAGATTAATTCAAGTACAATTATTAAGTTCTTGACAATTTATTGATGGTTCTTTCTTATGTATAATAGTTATAATTTAATAATATAGCATATTTACTACTGTTTTAAATAAGTAATGTACTACCAAGTTTGTAGCTCTATCGTCAAGGATTTTATCCGCATCTGTTTTTCACTATTTGGCAGAGTTTCCTTAGTTTGGATTATTTACAACTGTTTAAATGTTATTTATGATTGCGGCAATAGTTTTAGAATATTGGATAATTTTTACGGTTTTCAATCAATAGATATTGAAGAAAGCGTATCTTTCTTCGCCATTTGGGCACGCGACCTTAATAAAAATGATTCATCTGAGCAAAAACTCTGGCGGATAATTATCGTTATGCAAAAATCTTATAACTAATTACATTACATGTTGGATTTTCTTACACGATTTTTGTAATGTTTCACATTGTTATGTAGTATTGCTCCTTAGCCGCAATTTTCATCGACAAAATAACGCAATCCACACTTACATTGCATGCAATGATACTGGCAGTGCAAAATCACAACATTCTACAGTAAATTATAGGGCAGTGATCTTATTCAACGTTACAAAAAAACCATTGACATTTATGTATCTTTGAAGAAAGAGCCTTGTTTATGTATTCCTACATCCGTTAACGTAAGTACTCGTTCGTTCTTTATTGATCACTTACGACTGCTGATCTGGGTATGACGAGGGCAAACTACTATTTCTCTTAATGGGCGGGCAGCATTGACGCGCATTTAGATGTGCCGTATTGCAACGTCTTTGTTAAGGACAGAGTCATCATTATACATGCGTATCGGCTCATAAATGAGTATTTGAAACGGGTTAGCTCGTTGCCGCGTCCACGTTTCCGTCTCTCGCAAACGGTGGTCGCTCTTGATCTTGCGTCTGACCCGATCCGCTGTCGGCGATATAATCAATAAAACGCTACTTCGTACCCAAACGATAGCGGCGTGATGAATGTTGCGGCTTGTTTGTTCTATGTTTTACGACTGTCGTCTAATCATATGCCCGTGTTTTTGTAATAACGAGAATTTTTAAATTTTGTAATCCCAAACGCGTTTGGCTTTCAAACATTTATTTTAAGGTTAATATAATATAGTTGCGTTTGGAAGCTTTTTTTAATGTGAGAAGGTAGCAAACGAGCTGGCGGTTGACCTGATGTTAAGTGATAACCGCCGCCCATTGACATTTGCAAAACCTCTAGGCTTGCAGATGCGTTGCCACCTTTTAATAAACTGGACCCCGGCTACCTCACTGACCAGACGAAAGACAGAAGTGTAACACTTCCACTTCGCGCCGGTCTTCTTTGAGGTCGTGGTACTTACCCGGACGGATCTGCCCATTCGTGCAACAGAGAAGACTGTTGCATGGACCCCACCACAGTTAAAAGGTCGTAAGAGTTTAATGACATAACGATTAGTAAACTTCTCGAGTTTGAAGATTCTTTATATCGTAGTGATAGCAATCAAAATTTTATTGGAAAAATGCCATCATACAAAAAATGTATTTTATTTTTATTTTTTATTTTATGCGAAAAGTTGTCAAACGAGCAGACGGTTCACCTGATGTTAAGTGAATACCGCCGCCCATGGACATCTGCCACACCCGAGGGTTACGGATGCGTTGATAACCTTTTGAAAATTGGGCTCCGGCTACCTCACTCACCAGACGAAACGCGAAAGTATTTGTCATACTTCCACTTTACGCTGGTCTTCTGTGAGGTCGTGGTACTTACCCGAACGGGCCTGCCCATTCGTGCAACAGCCGAGGCTGCAGCGTGGCCATACCACCGTTAATGTATGCAACTGATAGTCTGATATCGATATGATTCTCTCGTTGTTCACAGCTCAGAGTGCCCCTTCGTCAAGTGTTGCGGCCGCGTGACCTGACCGTCATCATCAATAAACGCCACCTCAAAGTCGGCGTTAAGGGTCAACCGTTGATCATAGATGGCGAGCTGGACGCTGACGTCAAAGTAGAGGAGTCAACTTGGGTGCTACAGGATGGGCGGAATCTACTCGTAAACTTGGAGAAGGTAGAGTATACAACGTGTCACATTAGGCCATGATAATTTAAAACGGGCATTATAATATTAACTGTGGTAGGACCACGCAATGGTATTGCCACGACCTCACAGAAGACCGGCGTAAAGTATTAAACTTTTGCATTTCGTCCGGTGGCCGGAACACTTTATTTAAATGTGGCAACGCTTCTGAAACCCTACGGGTGTTGCAAATGTCCTTGTGTGGCGGTTATCACTTAACATCAGGTAAACTGACAGCTCGTTTGCCACTTTGTCACATAAAAAAAATTAGGATCGGATGCACTTCAAAAATTTGAGCCGCAGTACAGTAGTGGCAATCACAATTGATTAAACTAAAACGGATACAAATGAGTTCGATTCACAAATTGGAAATCGTACCCACGGAGTTCCGAGTCTACCCGCAGGTCGAGTCGCTTGCCCGAACCAGGTGGCTATGTATCTAATACATGAACATTTTTGTATGAATTATGAATTAATCTCTCGCATTGATGTCATTTATAGGTAAACAAAATGAACTGGTGGGGCCGTCTCGTTACAACTGATCCCGAAATATCTACAAGGAAAATTAACCCAGGTTTGATTGAATTTTTAGCTTATTTTATTCTATTTATAGGTTTTTGATTATGTTTACTTTTAACAAAATGTCTGAATTTGTTAGGAATCCTGTAACTTATTTAACAGACTATCTAAGGAATCATCCCAAAACATTATCATCAAAATAAACAATAATACCTTGATATAACTACTGTTTTTATATCGTATCATTGATGGCCTTAAAAACTTTAATGTGATATGTAATTCACTTAATAGTAAGGGCGTTAAAATATATAAGTATGTACATTATAAATGGTTTCTTTACTATCGATAGAAAATAACTGTACATATTAATATTTATTAGAACCATCGAAGCTCTCAGACTTGGACGGAGAAACTCGCGGATTAGTCGAGAAGATGATGTACGACCAGCGGCAGAAGGAAATGGGCCTCCCAACCAGTGACGAACAAAAGAAGCAAGATGTACTTAAAAAGTAAGTGGAAAACACCGTCTCTAATCTAGAACACTACTTCACTCTGCATTCTGATTTGTTTGGCAAGTAAGCTAGGTGATAAATTGTTAGTACTACATTTATTAATCTAAGGAGGGATTCTAAGGCTTGTATATAAGAATAGACATTAGTAAGTGATTACCTGCCATCAGTTTTATATATACAGAAACAAACAGTTGCTTAAAGTAAAACATTACAAAACATTATGCTAATATTATTTTGAAATTGTTTTCATATTAATCAATTGTTATAACTGTCTTGTTACTTTTCACGTTTTTTTTAATAAATCATCCACTCAAAATCAAAATCAAATGTATTTATTCAACATAGGAGCATTACACTCACTTATTGATAGTCAAAACACTACCACCGGTTCGGAAAAGAAAGCCACTGTACTGAGAAGAACCGGCGAAAGAAACTCAGCGGGCTTTTTATTTTTTTTTTTTTTAAATAAACAGTTTGACATAAATTCGTTAAAATACAATATAAGAACTCCGATTGAAAGAGCCTGGAGCGATCAGTTCATTACCAGAGTGTGTTATCATTTAAATAATCATTAATATTATAGTAGCCTTTAACACACAAACGTTCTTTTACTATTTTTTTAAATTTAGCTATTGATGCATTTTGAACGTTTTCTGGAATTTTGTTGTAATAACGTATACATTGTCCCATAAAAGATTTACTTATTTTACGGAGTCTACTTGTGGGTATGATCAATTTATTTTTGTTCCTAGTATTTATATCATGAACATTACATTATATCATGAACTGTTTGCTTTAGGAGGCTTACAGATATACACCGGGCTTGAGGTGGTCGATTATGGGTGACTCAGTTCGAGGACACTCGAGGGAGGGAGCCTCGGCTCGGGCCGACACACTATTGTTATTTTCAACGGTTTGGGAGGCCGCTAAGCTCTTAGGTCGCTTTGTGCGGACGCTCCATGGAGTAAATGGGCTCAAGGGCCCCTGATAGCGGACCTCCGCTTGGACTGTCACTCTGTACCCGTCTAGCATTCCGATTCGAATGTCCCCGAGAGCGCCGGACCTCGGCTCGATTGGTAGCTACAGCTGTCGGGCCTAGATACTTATAACAGCTTTAATTATATGTTTGTCATTTTATTGTGTTTAATATTATATGTTTCATAGTATTCAACTAGTAGTCATAATTAATCACGTATATTTTGTTCACAGATTACGCTAATTGATTGTTATTAATATGATGTTTTTTTTTTCTGCAGGTTTATGGAACAGCACCCAGAAATGGATTTCTCTAAATGCAAATTTAATTAATGGGCGATTAAAATAACGAACGCCTTCCTTATTTAAACGTTAAAGTAGAATGTAGGTGCTCTTTGTAGCAATTCATATACGTTTTGCTTTTATGTTTGATAAAGCACCAATAACACTAATTGCATTATATTCAAAGTCAACACACGCATGGAAAAATAAAATAAATGTTAAGTAAACGATTGCTAGTTTAATTTTAATTTAAATTATGACTTTATTATCTTTCCGTAAAAACAGTATATAATTTAAACTTTCTAAAATAGTTTAGTTTTAGTTTTGTATGTGGCACTGACCATAACTTGTACTCTTCAGGAATCTTTTTGAAATAATCCTTATTTTACAGTACATTTATATCTTTGTATCTTTACAGTATATTAATGCCTTACAATATGTGCCGTGCCGTGAGAGCATGTATTTGTCGAATTTGTTCCTCTTTCATTACAATTTGTTTTTTTATTTAATTGTGTGTACGAGAAAACAGTGACAATAAAAAAGATTATTAGAAGAGATAAATGAGAGAAGTCGATAGACTTTCTTTAATGCTTTTTAAATGGCTGTGAGTTCAATAACAAAGATCAATAAATACTAACATAATACATATTGCTGACATATTTTTTTTAATTTATTTGGATTATTTACTAGATATGCAGCTTTCCTTATGATGTTTTCCTTCGTCAATGAGCAGGGGATAAATCTGTTGCTGTTTTATAAACAATTTTGATTTGAGCACTGGTTCCTCGAGTGTAATGAACTAAAAGCGAGTGATCGAATGGCGATGCGGATGGCTTTTTTTTCTTAATACAATCTTCTCTTTTACGTATGATATGCCTGCTTTTAAGGCCTAAGTTAACATAATCGCACGGAACCACCAACCGCACGGCACAAGATAAACGCGCGAGATCTTCAGCCGCGCATGAACTTTATCATGACGCTTTTTCAACATTGTAAAAATTTTAATCTCATAATTTTTTCCGAACGCGGTAAGAGAAGTTAAACTTCAATAATAAGACTATTTTACATACAAAAGGCAAGAATTAAGCGCACATTAGCCAAAGCCTAAGCCAGACACTACTAAATCCTGTCCTTTATAAAAGAAGTGTACCATTATCTATAAAAACAGCGTAAAAAATCATGTTTGTTAAAAAGGAGCCCCATTTAAATATATTTTTTATTGTTTTTCAACTGTCTAACAAACACGGTTGAGATATAGCCTGGTGACAGACAGACAACGGAGTCTTAGTAATAGGGTCCCGATTTACCCTTTTACCCAAAGGAACCCTAAAAATAGTCATTATTATTAAACATGAAGCTAAAGTACATTTTATGCAAAGGGAATGAACCGAATAATGAACGCTTAGCGATAATATGACTGTTCTGATCAAAGGCTAGGGCCTGCACTGCTTCAGCGAGAATGTCTTCTGCCGTTAATCTACTGGTTCCCAATAATAGGTGCCGGCTATGAACGGAGCATATTAAGAGTGAACAGTAGAGTTTTTTCTTCATTTCCCTACCGGACAAATAAAGGCTTGCCTGAATAATAAATTGGTCTTAAAAATATTACGAGAAGATTGCTATTTCATTTTTGATATTTTCTAATTTTACCTAATCAAAAAATAATGATTATATACATTTTTTATTAACTTTATTATTATAAGCTACCATAGGTTATTCTTAAATGTATTTCTAAAACGTAGTTTTTAAATAATATCTATGACAATAACACAATCTGTTTTGCACATCCATTGCAATCCTTTTAAACTAATCTTCTAATGTATAAAATGTTACATTAATGTGTTACAAAATCTTCCAAAAATATTTAGAGTTGGTAAGTTATATCACTTTTTTGTCGACTTATTTTATTCAACTTATTTAGATCCTTACCACACCGATCTATATTTTATCTGTGGTAGTCACACCAAAGGTTTCTTATTAAGTGATATTCCGCATTTTTTAGGGAAAAAGATTACTATTATTCTTTAGTAACGTTTTAAATATCTAAACCATATGTAATAATATTTCAGGACAGGGCACATAAACGATACTTCAGGACACATTTTTACATAACTTTTGTAAAGAAATATTTAAAAATATGAACACCCAGACACTGGAAAAACACTTTGATATGTGATGAAAACATCAGACAATACTTTTTCAGTAGTTTCAGTAGTGGCAGTTTCAGTAACCACTAGGCCAATTGAGTTGTTATTTAAAAACATATTTTCCCAAAAGTGCAAATAACTGTTAATAAATAGATAGTGTTGATAAATACATAATCACAAAATTTTTTCATCTTTTCGACATAAATTGAACTGAAGAAGTAAGCAGGTATATTTTATCTTAACTTATTATTATACGTTAATATTGACGAATTCTAAGCTTTTATCTAGTATCTACTGAATTTGTTACAAACTAGAGTAAATCACTACATAGTATGAAACAAAGTCGTCCCGCTGTCTGTCTGTCCCTATGTATGTATCTTTAAAACTACGCAACGGATCTTGATACGGTTTCTTTAATAGATAGAGTGATTCAAGAGGAAGGTCTTTAGTACTATATAAAGTAAGTAAATTAAATTTATTGTACAGTTAGTTGTTCCTTGGAAACGTGGAAGGTGAAATTGATGAAACATGGTAAGTTTAATTAAATCTTATTATAAATAAAAAAAAAAAATAATTGACATCCAAGGTTTAACATGAACCTGATAATTGGAATTTATTAATAAGATAAAAAGTTATTTCCATTTCAATTTGTTTCTTTGCTTGCTAACTTATAGCCCAACGTGCCTTTATCTGCTATTAACGTTTCATTTCATTATTTATAACATTGTTATACAAAAAGTGTATTTCATAAATAAACGTAATTTTTTGATTGGTATAAATTATAGGTATATTTGAGGAAAGGTTACACAAAATAGATTTTTTTTGAGAATTTTTAACATCCTTGGTGAAATTTCGAAAAGCCAATCTGAACTCTGGTAATCTCGAACTTAACTTCTTCCACAGATGAAGTAAAAAGTAAACGTCATACGTCAGGAATCATCAAAATAAACGCAATATTTTAATGTTTTCTTGGTAGTATACATATGCAGTAAAATTGTAAAAAAAATGGTCAGAACTGTATATTCACCGGAACATTGCCTGCAGTATTTGGAACAATATGCATGTAAAGAAATTTTTGTCACAGGATTAATATTGGGTCAGGTACGGCAAAACACGTTCATGATTATTTTCATTCTTTTATTCTCAACATTTTCAATTTGACATCAGTATGGATATAGGTTACAGATGCGCGTGAAAATGTTATACACTTAGCTCGAACGCCAGAAGAAAAAGGTCCTGATAATTTGTCTGAAACTAGTTACACTTCAGAGAAAACGGATCCTGTAAAAAATCTACTCGGAGTTTCAGAAGCTTGGGTTGCTGATCATGCTAAACATGTTACAAGAATGTTGCCGGGTGGTATGTTTGTTCAAGGTAGGATTTTGGTTGGAAAGTTACTCTAAGATGATTAATTGTATAGAATTAAATTAAAGATACAATGTTCTTTCGGATAATTTTATGAGATAGATAATAGAAAGAGATTTTCTATTATCTATCTCATAAAATTATCCGAAAGAACATTGTATCTTTAATTTAATTCTAATAATAGAAAATCTCTTTCTATTATCTATCTCATAAAATTATCCGAAAGAACATTGTATCTTTAATTTAATTCTATACAATTAATCATTAACTGCACGTTTATTTTTAAATGCATTTATATTTTATATGTTACCAATCTGGTTTTGTAACTCAAAAAATCACAAACAATAAATTAATACAACATTATACATGTTCTATATATTTGCAGGAGTATGTGACATATACTTTATTGACACTGTAAATTCTAATTTGTCAGATTGTTATAAATATTTGTTAATTTTTCAAATTTGTTGTGAATTAGCTAAAAATTTTCAGGTATTTTTATAACAAGTGATGAAGACATTTTTGAAGACCCTAACTATTATAGTAAAGTGCGTTCTATTTTGAATTATATGCACAAAATACTGAACAGTAATCCACTTATGCTGGCTAACTGTCCCCACACCAATGAAAGATTAATTTTACATATGTCAACAAACACAAAAGTGCTTACTTGTAAAAGTGTTGAAATAGGAGGGACAAATAAGAATGTCTCAGCTAAGCCTGTTGAATGGAAATTTTTACCAAAACCTCAGCAATGGCAGAGACTAGACTGTTATTATGAATTTGATGATGTCTATCCAGTGATTGTCAAGAAAAGTGGGATTTCTGTGAAACAACAATTTCAGGTGTGTTATATTGTTTTACACCTATTTGAAAATCTGATTAAGAAATATAATCTATGTAGTATGATAACTTAAATCACTTAAGAATGTTTTATGTTTATGTAAATAGGTTCTGTAGGTAAAAAGTTTGACTGGGAGAGAATACGAAACACAATGTATATTTGTTGTGTAAAAGTTTAAATAAATACTGCAGATTTAATTTAAGGAAGCTTTCAATGATACACAAATCTCATCTTAAACTAAACCTTAAATATTTTCTAAGCATGTTGGCAAAACTAAGCTATAAAATGTACTTTTATTTAGTGTTCTCTTTATGAAAAAATGTTTGTAAGCTTGTTCACTTGATCTTTAGTGATCACTACCATCATGCCACCATATGGACATCTACAGTACCTGATGGGTTATACCTCAATGATCAGAGGAAATGCAAAATATTATACTTTCAATTAATGTTGGTGTTCTGCGTACCTGTGGTATTTCGCAGGATGAGTCTGCCTATTTGTACAATATTGGAAGCTGTGTGGCCCTACCACAATTAACAAAACATTTCTACAAACCATATTTGATTCTATAAAATATTTGGATTTCAGCAAATATTGGAATCTGCACATAAAACCATTGAATCTAGTGTGATCTTTATTGACGGTGAATTAAAAGATGGTTCAGAGCAATTGGAACAAATAATCAAAAAGAAGAAATCAAAGAACAACACTAAAACAACACAAGATTCACAAAAATCAATGCATGTCTCTTTATTTGTCCCATTTGTAAGTGTTTTATCATTCTTAGTCATATTTACAATTTTCAATGTTTAAAATAGGAAGAGTGTATTAATGTTAACCTGCTTATTCATTCAGCAATTTTTATCTATAGACATAATTACTGGAAAATTATTAACACCAAGCCCATTTAAATTGTCAATGTGGTCATTGTAATGAATGTTGAGTTAGGTTGATATAGGTTCACAGACTCATTTCATAAAACAGATCTGCTTCTTGTAAGAGTTGATTTCTGGTATTGAAACTTGATTGTAAACCCTTATAGGCACTTAATTTTCAAGTTGCCCTAATACTGGTGGAATGTACTACTAAATTGGGTGAATTTGTTAACGGAGATATATATTATTACCTGTAATTGATGATGGTTGAGCACGCAATTAAAATAGCAAAAGCTGTCTGGGTTAAAATTAGTTTAAAATGACTGATTTCCATAAAGAAACATTCTATTTATTTATTCTCTTAATTCATTGCACTTATTAAAATGTAGCATGTTTAAGGAAAATACCATGCCTGAAACTGTTGAGTACTTGGAGTGTGATGGCAGTATACACTTCAGCGGTGTAGTCTCCTCCAGTGTGTTCATGTACTCTAAGGCTACAGTAAGCGAAGCAATAGCTGCAGTCAAACAAGACATTATAAGATCTTTAGCATCTCGCTTTACAATGCACTGTGATGCATTGATTGATGATAACTTGCTTCCTGAAGGTTTGTAAGAGCTATAATTCAAAGATATAGATATAATGAATATGTATAATTATGTACTATTTACCAATATTTAATGCTGTGTTAAATGAAAGCAATTGGGTAATATATCCCTTATTATATTATTGGCTGTAATATTAGAATATAAATAATATTTTATTTTGTACACTACAGAGAAAGTTTGTTTCAACGAGCCGCCACGGCGAGTACTGGTTCCTGTTGGTTCTCTGTATTTGTGTGATTATCTTTTTCCTGGTGAAGCACCTGCAGAAGCTCTACTCTCTGTAAAGGAACTGCTTGATCTGCAAATAACAGAGGCGGATGTCATTTGTGATATTGAAACACCAGCAGGTAACTGTAATTACTTTTTGCATGCAACAAAACATCAAATGTACATACTAAGTCTATACTTCAACTAATTTGTTTAATTATTGCATGAATGTTAATTTGTCAGGGAGATAATAAAGAAACAGTTATGTGGCAGAAGAAATACAAAGGTTAATTTTCCTTATAAAATCACATATTATAATTAAAAAGAATATGGTGTGTGTAGAAAGGAGTGGGTAAAAGCTAATTCTATTTAGAGCAACAGATTTTGGAAGACAAATTTATAATCATATTTAGTAATCTCTTCTACCTGCTGACTCACTTTTTTATTTTATTTAAAGTCAAAATAGTTTTTTTACTTTCATTCTTACGTAATTTTATTTATTTTCGTTTGGAAAGAAAATCCTCAGCACTTCGTTATAAATTATAATCAATCAAGCAAATATATACATCTTATTTACTAAAATGTTTGTTGATTCCTAGATACGTCAGAGTTTGATGCCCTCGACCGAGATACAAGCAGTGAAGAACTGTTAGCGACTCCACAAGAAGCAAGTCAATTCATGTATATCACTGGTATTTGTTTTGCATTGCTAGTCTTAGTGGTTTCAATATTTATTCATTATTACGACGGTATTGTACAGTTCATGAGTAAATTATTACCGAAGTCTTAAATTTGTCTTTAAGCATTGTGGTAATAATAATTGTAATTATATGCTGAAAGATTTTATTTTATTTTATAGAATAATGCTTGTTTTGTGTCCGTACTTTTATTATGACATAAAATACAACACTTCTTATATGTGATGTGTAGTTTCAATAAATTATTTTGTAATGAATATTTTTTCTTTATTTCTAAGCCTTGAAACATCTATTTTGTATTTACTCTTACATTGTTAAACAAGCGTTTTTAAAAGGATGGGCCATCAGATTTAGTAAAATTAGTTTTCTTCCCATGATCATATTATCTTATATCATATAATAAACGGATGTTACCTATGACATGTATGATGTATATATACATGTATGTATATATAATAATCTTATTTTTTAAATTTAAACAACAGAATAATGAAAATTAAATAAATTAAATGTCTAAATTGTGTAGATATGGACGTTATAATTACTTTTTAAAGCAACTAATACTGAATAATAATAACATGAAAATATTACCAGACATTTAGAAGTAAAATAGTTCTTCCATTGATTTTATAGCGCCATCTCTTAACGTAAAAAGAGTTTATTTTATCGATCAATAGATGGCGGAAGTGGGCATAGTTATCACAGTTATTTAAAAAGTATACCTCGTCATTGCACAAAACATATTGAACGTATGAAACTGCGCAAGAGTGAAAGAGAGAATCGACATTCTGAGATCATGTTAACATTACTTCAAATATGGTTGTATTTTTTTATTTTGATGTAGGTTTCTAAGTACTGCATACAGCCATACACATGCTTCGTTCTTGTCCACATGTAACGTATCACATTCAAAATTATAATGTACTATTACATAGGTAACATAGACAGTACCTACTGCAGATACCTTGATCTTGTTTAGAAATAAAAGTGACAACAGTGTTTGTGTTTGGTTACAATTTCACGAAAATAAATAAAAACAATTAATATGAATTCCGTTGTTAATGTTTATGGTTTTACCAACCTATTGTGTGACTAATTAATTAATTAAACCGGTTTTTGTACGAACGACTGGAAACGTGATAGTGAAGACGATATTGTGTTTACAATGGCGTTTTCTTTAAATAAATTAAAAAATATTTTAAATAATAATCGGGACAGTCAGTTGACAGGAAGTGGAAGTTTGGAGCCGGAGATAGGGTTCAAATTGGCCTTACATCCAGTTAGTAAAAATTTGTATGTGACGGTAATTGGCGCCCGGCATCTTCCTTCCTTATTTGGATTGAGTCGAGCTCATGGATATCTTGTTAAAGTAAGTTTTATCCCGTTTCAATATAGACAGTCATTTTATCTCGCTTATTGAGATTGTTATACACATGTACTTACGTTTTCAAAATCTCATTTCCAATTTATGATTGCGTCCTTTCAAAATGTTTCTTATCTTTCGATTAAACAAAAGATAAACTGCGTCAAGTAATATCAATATTTCCAAACGCACTTATTTTTTGTCATTTCTATAATTCCACCGATTGATTTTATTTCGCAGTGGAATGCAGAGTATCAACAACATTCACAGGAAACCAACTTAATGTTATTGTGATTATTTGTCAGGCCGATTTTCAGCCAGCAGTAGTTGAAGTAATACATTTATTATTTTTATCCACTAAAACATACAACTTGGTGACAATAAAAATCGAAATGTAGGTACGTACGCTTACACTTGTAATAAGGTAAATGGAAATTTTAAAATATGCATAATATCTTACTTGTTGGAGTTTATTTGTAAAGTAGTGTGAGTGCCGGTGGTCTCGAACGTCATTGTTCGAAATTGAAATCGGTAGAGCTGTCCACTAAAATCGGTATATTTGTACTCAAAATCGGCATATGATATGACCAAAAAAAATCCCCAAATTCGTTTCGTTATCAAAAAATAAGTGTATTTTCCTGATGTAACGTTAATATCCTTATTAATCTTACTATAACTCTTACAATTTGCATAGCTTACGCCTTTTCGGCTATCTTGCAGTCACCCTTAGAATTCTTTTTTTTTTATGTGAGAAGATAGCAAACGAGCAGGCGGTTCGATGTTAAGTGATAACCGCCGCCCATTGACATTTGCAACACCATGTAGGGTTGCAGTTGCGTTGTCATCCTTTGATGTAGTCGGCCGTGGTTACATCACTTACTAGACGAAAATCAGATACGTATATAACACTTCAACTTCACGATGACCTTCTGTGAGGTCGTGGTACTTTCCCGGACGGACCAGACCATTCTTGCAATAGCGAAGAGTGTTGCATGGCCCTAGCAAATTTCTTCTTCTCATTCTTTACTATATCATTGTAAATATTTTTTCCTTTTGCACTCGCGCTTGGACTCGGTTCCTCGTCATTTTCTTCTTACTGACTCAAAAAATTTTGTTCATACTACTACATACATACAAATTTTGTTCAATGTTAAATAAACTGGTCAAACGATTGTACAGAAATTGAGAATGCCGTTGAAGAAGTTGTGTTTTTGTGGAGTAGTTTAATTTTTTGGTGGAATAGTTGCGGAAAGCAAAAAAATATGGTACTATAGATTACAGAATTCGTGTACAAATACGTATATTAAGCAAATTCTGGTAACCTAACCACCGGGGTGGGTGCGTAATCCTTTGTGGGTTTAAATTAAAGTTCGAAACATCGAAACAAAAAGTGAATAAAAACGTCAGGTTTAATTAACATTCGAATTAACAAAGCAGACTTGGCATCCGTTGAAATTGATGCGATTTCTTCCGATTTATTTTAAAGTGACTTATAAGTTCAATGGTTAAAATTCTTAAAAATTTAAACTTTTATCATTGCACATGCTTCTAGTCAAACTAGGTCTAGGTACAAAGTCTTAGACATCGCTCTCACGGGCAGCTCCAACTATACTTCTTTAAGGAAAAAAGGAATTTTGGCGACTCTTGAAGGAAGAGTAAAGGCACTTACCATTAGGGTAGATTTTACAATGTTTTTTAATAATGTTTACACTTAGTTACTTGTGGATGTCACCTATTTTATTATAAAAGTTAATACTTGTACCAGGAAACGGCTTTCTGGTTTTAGCCAGTCTAAAACTCTGTACTACCGTGTCACCACGGCCCCTGACCCTGAACCCCAGGTAAAACATCATATGGCAATGCTGAAAATAAGTATAATCAACTAATTTAGCTGTTTCCTCGTTTGTTAGCTGTCTGAACCTGCGCCGCGCAAGTGACAATTTCTTAGCTAATTTATTTACATGGACTTCCCCATTGCAATTTCGAGACAATTTTGAATCCTCAAGGATCGGGATTTTCTCATAAATACAGATTTCTGGCATATGTGAAAACTTAGACAGTGTATCTAATACATTTTGTTTTAGTGGAGTTCAATAGTAAATTATTGGTTGAAAACCAGCCTGAAACAGTATCTATCACAATAGTTAGTATTTTATTTTGTTACTAGTTTTATATTTTTCCTTATAAATTAAAAAATAGAGAAATGTCAGCCGCAAACAAAACGATTTGGGACCTATTTTCTACCACATATGGCAAATCATTAATATAAACTAAAAACAGAAATGGACAGAGGATCAATCCCTGAGGAACACAGATTTGTACTATTGACCTCTATGACAATATACCATTTATGATTACTTTTTTTACATTTACATTTATGATTACTTTATTAGGGAATTAAACAATTTCTTTAAAATTAAATCGAATTATTAAAGTTGATTATTAAGTACGTCAAAATATACGAAAATATGAGTAAAAATTAAAATTATTCAAAGATTCATAACATTTTGTAATTTACCTTTTCGTTTTAACATCATAATCTGTTCATAGGTACTCTCAGAAGTTAAAATTTGTAAATTTAAACTAAGTAATCTCAAAATCTTTAATCTTCAGTAAAACATGATATATAATGACATATTTTAGATTTAAGTTGAAGGTCTTTCTATACCCAGTTTGATGTTATGATAGCACTGCGTCAATTATATCATCACATCGATTACATCGATTTATAAGCGTTTATCTTCTTAAATTAAACGTCATGATTATGTGATTAACTCTCTAGACAAGTGGCTTACATCCAAAAGACTATCATGTATACTGGGGCTTATAGTAAGTTGTATTTATAATCATTGGTAGTTCAACTTTAAATCTTAGTACAATACAAAGGAGAGTTTAAATTATATTCGAATTATAACTTCCTTAAATATCGCATACAGCATAATAACAATAAGAGTTTTTTCCGTAGGTCTTACGTATTACGTATACACCGGTGCGTTCCGTTGGAGATCCCGGAGTCCCTCCAAACGTACTGGGGGTGGCCACAGAGGGTTTTAGTGGGTAAGAACCCCACATAACCCTGTCATGTAAAGTGACAGGGTATCTTTTGAAGATTTCCCCCCCGATACCAAAGAAAAAAAGTCTTACGTACTAGCTATGGAAGACACATCTTATATGAAGAAAAATATTCGCACTGATCTTATCAAATTTTCCTAATCCTTATTTAGACATTGATTGTACAAACTTAGAGGTGACGCCGGATTTTCTCGTTCATTTAGTCGTTTATTGTTTGGTATTGATTGGTTTGCCCTACACATAAGCAGTACATGAGCGATGATACTTCGATTGACTAAATAGTAGGACCAGTATTCAATATAGTGTTGTATAGTGGATAACCAAAAATATTTTCCTTTACTGTCTATATAACATAATATATAAACCTTATATTATTATCATTCAAGACAATAGTTTAAAAGAATAGGTGCTTGAAATAGATTGTGGACAATTACATGATTACGTTTTGCGGTTGATTCAACGTCGACGTCTGTGTTTGTATTATAACTTGAATCTTGATATTGTCTTATACAATTTCATCCTGTTTCAATAAGAAACTGGACACCACTGACAGCTGAACGTAGATTTCTTTTAAATGAGACAGTGTATCTAACACTGTCTCATTTAAAAGAAATCTACGAAGTGGGCGAGTTATATAAATCGTTTGAAATTAATCAAATTGTAATTACGTCAATCTCGAGTAACGTGTATTAGGTACTTTTAGGATTGCAAATTGAAAATAGAGTAAAATATATAATGCTATTTTAACCACCATTATTGCACCATTGCATTAACATATCCTGAAAATTAAAATAGTGAAATGAATCACTCAGATAGCGTTTTTATATTTTACTATTTTTGTGTCAAGTGATTGCATTACGTAGATTGTTAGAACGAAATCTACAAGGAGAAATATAAGGAGATATAGCAAAAACTAAGAATTACCCTTGGCAATTGTGTCCTTTAAAAAAACCTAATGTAATATTCATAAATGACTCAGCATATCCACGTGATGTTCAATAAATTTATTCCCATTGTTATATTGTGATATGAAAAACTTCGTAATTCTTTCTTTGCGTCTATGAAATATGTCTCAAATACGCCCTCGAGTCTCTATTTTTGTGCTTAAATATAAATTGTTAGTTTTCAGTTTAAAGATTTCATTTTTTTATATAAAGTATACATAAAAATGGAATTTTAAACTGAAACTGCTTGTATTCGGTTTTGCCCTTTTTTGATTTATACACATTATATTTGTTGCACGCATTGTTATCTTATAACAATTAAGGAACTAGTCTCCAAGGTACTATAATCAATCAGCAGCAGACTATTTGCTCCGTGTATTAATATATTAATGTTTAATACAGTATTTAACTTTGTTAACAAAAATAATACTTTAATACGGCTATAAGTAATTAAAATTGGAAGACAATTTAATTTTTTTTTATAGTGCTAATCTCGGCACTTAAGATTGAACATTAAAATTTGTAGAAAAAGCTCTGAGCGTCAGGCCACGAATGTCGTAGACGTGGGTTCGATTCCCACAGCGGCGACAATCTTTTCGTACTTTCTCTACAAATTTTAATTGGAAGACAAGTTATAACAAGCGTGAAATATAGGCTTTTCCAATATGCACGTCTATAATACATTTTCTCCTTTAGTGGCCGGAGAATGATGACTTAGTATGTGATAACATTTTGTTGCTGTGTATACATATACAAAGTTTATAATAGCGATTATCTTGTATTCTTATCATAATTCAATGTTTTGTTACGTAGCGAGTTTTATCACTTTATATATTTAACATTGAAATGTGCATGATACATGAAACGCAGGCATTCATTCAAGGCCACATTTCTTTAACGTAATTCATTCAGTTACGATTATATTTTCTTAAATAAGACCATTCGGAGGAAATTTCTTTGTTTAACTTTTTTTTGTGCGAAATGTTGTCAAGCCAGCACGTGGTTCAGGTGATGGTAAGTGATCACCGCAGCATATGAACTTCTGCAATACCTGTTGTAACTGCGTGGACAACGTACTTTTAAAAAGTGGGCATCGGCTAACTCACTCACCATACGAAAGATATTAATTTCTAGGGATCAATTAGATATAGCATTTAAGGTTTTCTTCTCATTGTGTTAAACGATTTTCTTTGTTGTATGGAATAATTATATTAATAATAATTCGATAATTAAAATAATAATGATTAATGTTTGTTAATAATCTATGGCTATCATTAATCCATGGACAAAGGGACATTAGCATCGTAACTATGGTTTAATGTTAACATGACCCAACTTTGGTCTTAACGATGTATGGGCGGTAGTGCAACATTTCATAACCATATGCCCCTAACGGTGGGCTTAGCCTAGGCATTGTGTATCACTTGCCATTGATAACGTCGCTAATGAGCACCCAGATAAGACCGTGATAATAGTTTTGGCAATTAAATTGTCTTCAGCGACAGCACTGACATGTAGGGCCAACGCGATATCGAATGGAGCCTGACATGTCATTTGTGGGGGTACGATAAAATCGCATTAACTAAACCTGTACAAAAAGGCTGTTTTAATTTTTGCATGTCTTTGAGATGTGATAAATTGAACAATTGATTATCTTTAACATTTGATATTTTTCAATTGTTTCAGAATAACTTCAGTGTCTCGTAGACATATATTTTTATGTGAGAAGGTGGCAAACGATCTGGTGGTTCACCTGATGTTAAGTGATAACCGCCGCAACTGCAACTGCAACACCCCTAGAGGTGCTGATGCGTTCTCACCTTATAATAAAGTGGGCCCCGTCTACCTCACTCATCAGACGAAACGGAGAAGTATAACACTTTCAATTATAGCTGGTCTTTTTCTGGAGGCCTGGGACTTACCTGCACGGACCTGCCCATTCGTCCAATAGAGAAGAACATGAGTGTTGTGTGGCCCAACCACAGTTTAACAAAAATACATATAGGTTACGAAATAACAATGATGGAGTATCGATAAAGAAGCACAAACATTACTGTCATTTTAAGGTGGTAGGGCCACGCTCAGAGGATTAGCAAGCTGAAGTGGCGATGGGCCGGCCATATAGCTCGTAGAACCGATAACCGTTGGTGAAGGAAGGTTCTCGAGTGGCAGCCTCGTACTGGCCATCGCAGTGTAGGACGACTAGATGGAGTGACGACCTGTGCAAATGTGCGGGAAGTCGATGGATGCAGGTGGCTCAGGATCGTACTTCATGGCAGTCTGTGGGGGAGGCCTATGTTCAGCAGTGGACTCAAACAGGCTGAAATGATGATGATGATGAGGGCCACGCAGCAGCCTCGGCTGTTGCACGAATGGGCAGGCCCATCCGGGTAAGTACCACGACCTCACAGAAGACCAGCGTAAAGTGGAAGTATGACAAATACTTTCGCCTTTCATCTGGTGTGTGAGATAGCCGGAGCCCGATCATCAAAAGGTAGTCAACGCATCTGTAACCCTCGGGTGTAGCAGATGTCCATAGGCGGCGATATTCACTTAACATCAGGTGAACCCTCTGCTCGTTTGACAACTTTTCGCATAAAAAAATTGAATTGATGATAGAACAAATAGCGGCTAATGTCTCAGAAATTGGATGTGTCAAAGAGTTCATGCCCGTACGAATGTTCAACCATAAATAATTAAAAAAAGACAAAAATTTATTTAATAAAACCAAAATTAATTAAAACAATAATAAATAGTGATAAAATTAAAACAATGTATGCATAAAGTAGTATAACAAGAAACTAGTTGTCGTTAACAGTAATCGTTATTTTTTTAAACATCTTACAAAAATCGTAGTTACAAAAAACACGATGAATTTGTACTTTTGATTATTGTCGTCCGTAGATGGTGCAACAGATCTTGCCCATTTCAGCCCTGAGACATCCCAGCTCAATTTCGCGGGTTTGCGCGCATATCCGAGTTAAAATATATTTATTATTTTGGATATATGTAACGTAACTAGATTTTTTGATTCGACGTTTGATGATTTATAGTTTTTGGTGATTTACGTGATTTAAAAAAGATGAATAACTATATAAATAAGCAGAATAATTAATATTTATTTTGGTATTAATGGACATCGTAATCTATACATATTATGAGTTAAATAATTGGATCAAGAATGAAATGAAAGGAGAAAAGCTCTTTGAGTTTTCGCTTTGAGTCTTACGAACGTAAAGCTTCAACGATTACGTTTCCCTAAAAAATTCTAACGTTTTTCAGGTTAGTTATAATAAAGAAATTTCGCATGAAGTACGCATGTCTACACGTGAGTTTTTACTTTTCTTATCTTAATCTGTACAGGGAGGCTTTTCTAAGTATATCAATTTTTTTTTTCATTAAATTCTAGACATAAATAATGTTATATAAAAAATTATAAATATTTAAAATCACTCGTAATTAATTAATTACGTTCATTTGAACTTATCTCATAAAGTGGTATTTATGGGCAACTCATTTATTTTACGCGCGATCATTCATTGCTAACACGCGCACAAGTTCGTTTAAAAAGTATACAACGTATTTATGAATGACCGCATTGTCAACAAGTATTGTTTATCAGGGAATAGAATGGCAATTTAAAAAAAAAATGGTTTTCATTTCAATAAACGATTATACTACTGAGTCAACCTCCTGTGTGAAATTGGGCATCTTTAGAAAAGCCACCCTGTATAAAAACTTATATAAAACCTGCTGTTCAATAGCTATTACGTAAACAAATATAAAGTCAAGCAATTGGCTAGTTTTTATGTGTTGGCGTTAAAAACATACGGAAATATTTTCTTTTTATTTAAAGTACCGCCATGTAATTTGCTGTGGATCCAAAATCTGTCGAAGGCCGCGAGATTTGTAATAAACGTGATACATTCACACTTGCGTTAAATTATTCGAATAAAATTTTTTTCGTTCATTTCACTCGCTATATGAGACAAAGGAATAGGCATTCCACATTGCTCAATGTTGCCTTTTATAAATAAAATAAATGACTTTACTAATAACACAGACTCACAACATTGTTGAAGATGTATCCCTTTTATCTGTTGTTCTGAATCCATTAACTTTTATTGTTTTTTTTTTCTATTTGTCATTGTTTTTAGTTTAATAAACCTTTGAACAAAATACCAGTATTAAAATCGGAAAAATCGGAAACTTAATATGTCACAATAATTGCAAACGTTTCATCCCTACCTAATAAAGTTAATAAAATAATTAATGATAATAGATAGTTAATTTAGTTTCAGTGCCAGGAATTTAATGCATATAAGGCCCAACAATATTTAGTAACTTTCACTCAAAACCTTTTAAAAATGACCTCAGTTATTTAAGTTGAATTAACTGTTAAACCATATAATACTTACGTAGGTATATTAAATAACATTCACTGATCTTACGATTTGAAATCTTTTATTATCACATTTCAACTGATTCTGCTGTTTCTCGAATGGGCAGGCTCGTCCGTGGATATACTACGGCTTCACAGAAGAAAGTATTAAACTTACGCGTTTCGTCTTATTAGTGAGGTAACCAGGGCCCACATTTTTAAAGGTTGTCAACGCATCAGCAAGCCTATAATTTAACATCAGGTGAACGCTTGACAACTTTTGACATAAAAAAAAATATTATTTATAGAAAATTTTAAATAGTAACGAATCTTAAATATATTGCTTAATATTAAGCAAAACAAAATATTAAGTATAAAAGAAACGCAAACAAAATTATTTCACACCGTAAAAGTAATAAAATTTTTGTTACGATAATTTGATAGATTATAAATTTTATTGTTGCAGGTAAAAGTATTCCCCGGCGAGAGTAAATACGAGACAACTTTGCAAGAGAGCTCGTGGCCCGTGTGGAACGAGGACTTCAAATTCCAATTGAAGCAGCCGACGGCGAAGAAGCCGTCGGAAAAGGTCGACCTTCAGAGCCAGCTCGCGGGCCACTTTTTATCGCTCACCATATACGCAATATTGGAAGCGCCGAAGCCTAGCGCCGACAAGAGGAGGACCTCGAAAACGCTTGATGCGAAAAAACCGTCCAAATTCGCGGAGGAGGAAGAGGGTAAGCCGAAGACAGGGTTCCTCGAGAAGACCTTCAGCAGCTTTAAGTCCACTAAGACGGAGGCGGCAGCGCAGAAGCTGATTTTGGAGAAACGGAGGACGGTCGGCGCCGCCACGTGGAACTTCGACTCGAAATTGTTCCAGAACGACCTCAAAAACGGTCTGATAGGCACTCCTGACATATGGAGGCCGATCAACGCAATCGCAAGTGGTCTCGCCGTGAACGACTCGAGGGTAAAACGCCTTTATTATTGCAAATTTATACATCGTTATACATATTACATGTCTCACTGCTGCCACTTCCATAAAGGTCAGGGTATATTGTTTTTTATTTTAAATATATCTTTTTTAAACCTTGCCCTTGCTTTGGGATAACATTATCCAGTGCTGTAAGGACGTTTTGCAAACATAAATTTCACGCGGATAACCACTAAGATGCTAATCAATTATCACACAAATAGCTGCCCCGTGCGGGAATCGAACTCGCGACAACCGCTTGGCAATTACGCCAACTGAGTCATCAAACTCCGCTGCGAGAGGTCTACACATTGGCGTATCTAGAATTATTTTTCAGGCTGGGCCTGAACCTTTACTACAAAAAAAAAGATGCAGTGCGTCGCATTAAAAAAGTAACAGTTCGTTATCGTTAATAATTTTAATTAATTTATAATAGTAGTATTACCTAATTAGTAGTTAGTACGTTGTGTATTCATAAGTAAATAAACGGAATGCATTGTAAAATAGTATGTAATAGAAACTATGTACATAGATTTCTCGGCTGTAGATAATTATTTGATTTCAATTATTTTTATGAAGTTTCTTAGTTCTTCAGCCTAGAATTTTGAATCAGTAACCCAAAATCCTGAGGTGGGCACTAGATAATACTGGGGTGGGTATGGCCCACCCGGCCGCTCTGCTATATACGCCTATGGGCCTACATCACATTTCGAGATATTTATATTTATCTATAATGAGGGAGTGTGTTATTTATGGTGTGCGTGTGTGTGCGTTTGTGTGCGTATTCAGGTTGTCGTACAATGCCTTTTCCTTCTCTGTTTAACATGGTTATCGACACATAAAATTGCAATTAATAATTTCATTGGTGTTGAAATCGGGTTGGTCGTATAAATTTACTGCCAAATATCAGGACGCTGACCCACGACCTTATTGCAGAAATGCTCTGAAATTTTGTTGAAGAAATTGTTTTGAAAAGTATGATTTTTTGCAATGAAGGTATCGTACCTTACTTACTTGATTGTGTAGAATAGTACTCTTTTGTTTTGCCACATCATCCGTGGTTTAATTTTTCCACGAAGATAATAATGATTTGCTCAAACCTTTTGTTTGTTGTAGAGTATCTTTCAATATACTCTACAACAAACAAATAGACCGGGGAGTAGCTCTCTAAAGGCTGGGAACTGATTGTGGGACACTAATCACTTACCAACAGGTGAATATCATGCTTCTTTGTCACCTTCTTTTATAAGAAAAAAAACTTGTTATTCATTTTATAAACAAAGACTCGTACGATATGTCTGAAACCAACAAACAGCCAATGGAAATATTTAGAATGTTGTACTAAATTCGACAACTCTAAAAGGCAGAACATAAAAAGATCGAGACGCTCGTTGGACGTTAAATTTAAGGTCAATATCAATAAACCATAAGTTTGCATTTTTTTCCACTGCTGCGTAATGGACAATGGATGAAAGTTCATCTGTATCGTAAAACTCTCATTATTCTGTCTGATAATAAAGTGAAACGTGACTACGAACTGATAAAAACTCCTTAAAAACTGGAAGTCACTTCGGCACGGTCGTTAACTAACGTTTAATCGCCGTAATTACGGCTGCTCGGTGTTGCTCGTGACGTCATTGGTAACGTCTTACGAAATAAAAACTTATTCCAAAACGATCGACTAAAGATTACCATCCTTAAAATCGTAGTTTTTTTTTTATGTGAAAACGATGCCAAGCGATCAGACACACCTGATGTTAAGTGAATATACCGCCGCCCATGGACATCTGCTACACCCGAGGGTTGCAGATGTGTCAACACATCCACAACAACACATCAATCACACAATAACCTTTTGAAAATTGGGCACCGGCACCGGCCACCTCACTCACCAGACGAAACGCGAACGTATTATACTTCCAGTTTACGCCGATCTTCTGTGAGGTCGTGTTACTTACCCGGACGAGCCAGTCCATTCGTGCAATAGCCGAGGCTGCTGTGTGGCCCTACCACCGTGTACATTTACGTATCCTAAACAATACCCACAGGCAATAATTACTCTTCACAGATAATATTATGTAGAAATGTGTATATTTTATTTGGTTTTTGGTTTCTTCGTACGTTATATAAATTTGAATAACGTTGATTTAATGGAGTAAAGTCTAAGAGCTTGCAAAGTTTTCGAGAGAGAATTTTAGGTAAGCTGGACTTTTAATATTTCTTCTGTTTCATGTCATATCGCCTATATTGGTAAAAATACGGACTTTTAATAATATAATTTTAATAAGTTCCTTTTTTCACTGTCGTTGATTAGCTAATAGGAACAAAAATATATGATTTTAATAATTTTAAGCATTATAAAATAGCTTTGAGCTTAATAGCTTTGAGCTTAATAGCTTTAACCATGTAATAATAAGCATTGAATGTAGAATTTCTAATTTCAACTCACTGTAATAGTGAACTTCACGAAATAATAATTTGGTTACTCTGACCAAGCTGTTACTTATATTTTTTGCCATATATTAGGTTGGGGAAAAACTCTTTTCGCAAATAGTATGTATAAACTTATAATATATCTCTTTGGTTATACCATTTGTATCTGGCTGGTTTTGGTATTATTAAAAAATTTTAGTATGAAAAAAGATAATTCCAAATTCAAATGAGGTAAATGTTGTGATTTTCATTTGTTTTCTTACTGTTAAGATGTGTAATTCTAATGAAGAAATTCATACATGTTTAAATTTTACTATAAAAAGGTAAAAATGCAACGCAAGCCGCGAAAAAAATTTTGTGATGTTTATGGACGCAAGTGCAGTGCAGTAGCTGTGGGAGTAGCACAAATTTTGATGTCAAAGATGCACCTCGCTCTGGGCGCCCTGTTACGGTTAAAATGGATGCCATTTTTGAAGTGAAACTGAAAAGTGGAGCAAGATCGGCATATCAGTAGTTTCGATGTAGCTGAAGAACTGGGAATTGACCACAAAACAGTTTTGGCGCATTTGAAAAAAGGGTACACAAAAATGCTCGATATTTCGGTGCCTCACAAGCTCACTGAGAAGAAACCAAATGAACCGTGTACTCATTTGTGATTCTTTATAACGAAGTAATGAAACGAAACCATTTTTGAAAAACCTGATAACTGGTGATAAAAAGTGGAATACGTACGACAATAACGCGTGGAAAAGGTCTTGGTCAAAGGCTGGTCAGGCTTCACAGACTGGCGAAACCCGGGTTATCTCGCAACAAGGTAATGCTGTGTGTATGGTGGGATTAGAAGGGCATTATTCATTATGAGCTGTTACCGCCATGCAGGACCATTGATTCTTAACTCTACTGCTAACAACTGATGAGATTAAAGCAAGAAGTTGAGAGAGACGGAATGGATCAACAGAAGAGGTGTGATTTTCCATCATGATAACGCTAGCCACTCAGCAAAAATTAAGAGAGTTTTGCTGGGAGGTGTTAATGCATCCGCCGTATAGTCCTGACCTTGCACCTTCAGATTTCCACTTGTTTAGATCTCTTCAGAATTATTTAGGCAGTGTTATCATTACGAGAGGACTGTCAAAACCACGTGTCGTGGTTTTTTAATCAGAAACCCCAGAATTTCTACAAGATGGCAGAAAGTTATCGAACAAAATTGTACCTACATACTTTATTAAATGTAAATAAACTTTATTAAAAAATGTTTTGAATTTTCATATAAAATGCGAAGAAACTTTTCCCCTATCTATTATTTGTTCAATTTAACTTGTATTACTTAATTTTTTCTTTATAATATTGAATACATATCATACTTGAATACATCTAGATAATAATTGTCGGAAACTAAAAGTATATTCAAATCATAAATTCAATAAAAAATCTAATAAAGTTAGCGCCTACAATGGAATAGCTTTGACCTTGTCCAATCCCATTTAGTACGTAACCCATTATTGTGATGACGTAAGATACCTTGGAACGTGACCGATCTGATGACTTTTGTTGTTGGCCTTACATCTTTGAAAATGCTGTACATATTAAACCAATTAAAGAACCGCATTGTAAATATACACACATATATACATAGTGGAAACCTGGATGAATATTAAAGGAAAATACGGACTTTAACGAATTTAATATAATTTTAAATACCCTCATTAAACTTATCTCAACTGTCTAATTAAACTTCATGAAATCCCTGAACATAGTTTAATTTGATAATGATAATTCATCATATTCGTATTAGTGGTCGCATGCCGTGTTCAACGGAAGTTAATGCAACCGATAATCTGAATGCCTAATTATCCTAGGTAATTGAACGTTGATTGAATTATTAATTACGTGATGGCCCTGATTCCTAAGTAGGATTTAATCGTTGCGTTTTATTTTTACGTTAGAATAGTCATATCGTGTACACTCGCGTTCAATTTTCGAATGTATCCTCTTTACGGAATAAGCATCTTATCAGATTCAGACAGGTGAGAACCAGCTCTATCTTTATCTTAATGCCCGACTGTATATGGTTGGTGGCATTATAGCACTTTTCGTTTATCATTTTATGAACACGAATGTGTCTTTACTATGTGTGTGTCGAATATTTTAGGTCTCGTGAAGGTCCATTGTAACTGTTGCCGAATGTTTGAACGGGAATCGTAAAGAGGTTCGATCCCTTCTTTATTTTTCGTAACTGTAAGTCCCTTCTACGTAGTTTGAGAATAATATCGGAGAAAATGCTGAAACCCTCTCGAAAGAGAAAACTCTTTATTTGATTTGTTAAGGTCGTATGAATGTCAAATACGACTCAATTAGACCCGCCTAAAGAAACGAGCAAAAAACCCTGCAGCCTTTTCCCCTAATAAATTAGTAGCTTACTTTGGTATTAACTATTAATATGAAATTAATGCTTCCCGAAGAGATTGACAGCTATTACATTTTTAACACTGTTCATATTTTTATACTAACTACGGTGTTATCGTTTTATTTTGTTTCCAAACTAAGCATTTTTAAAGTTAAACTTCTTTTGGCGCGTTTGGAAAAAAATATTACGATGCACGCAACACACTGACAGCCAAAAAGCGATACGATGAACTTACATACATAAGTACACACATACTTTTTATATTAATCGTTTGGTTTCAGCTAGAACTGCTTACGACGATATAAGACACGTTTTAAAACGCTCTAAGGTGCGCTCTTTATGAGATGGTCACAATGGGGTTGACATATCCAAAAAGGATAAAAACCCCAAAACAAATTCGGATTTTAAAAAAAGTGCGCTCTTTATATCGTGCTTATTGCGTGTCACGTCGGATGTTCGTTCGCAGAGGGAGAACAAGAGGGGCCAGCTGGAGGTGACCCTGCTGTACACGGCGAGCGAGGACGGGCTCAATGACACGGTGCAGCTGACCGTGAACCGGCTCCGGTGCAGCGTTCAGACGATGCAGGAACAGGAGCAGTACAAAGGTATGAACTTGTTTATCGACAACGCAGCCGCTGCCCAAAAACGCTAAAGCAGGCGTTAATTTATTGCTTTACTAGCTGTTAACCGCGGCTTCGCCCGCGCGGCCGCTGAATTTTTTCCTAATTAGTTGACACATATCATTACCTATATTTTGGACAATTCACACAATATCTTTATAAATTATAGCCTATGTGTTATTCTGATGTATGAGCTATATTATTGTAAAGTTTCATTAAAATCTATTCAGTAGTTTTTGCGTGAAAGAGTAACAAACATCCATCCATACATACAAACATTTGCATTTATAATGTTAGTAAGGATGTTTAACTTTTTCTGTTACTAAGTTAGTACAACGAGGGTGATATTAGTGTGTAAAACCTATTTATTAAATTTTAAAAAAAAGCAGCCGCGCACTTGTGGCGAGCGGTGGGAATTTTCAAAACTGGTTCGACGTTTCCACGGACTCTAAAGTTGCCCTTGAAAGTTATTGAAGAACTTAAGTTATATATTTAATGGATGTTGAATTTTTTTTAAATGTATTTAAAATTGGAATTGATTTTTATTTTAAATGTAGTTAAATTTAGGATTGGATTTTTAAAACTAGCGTCACGCAGTAGTCTTTTCTGTTGCACGAATTTTGTAGCACCTTTTCAGATAAAAAAGTATACATGTACCTTGTTATTTTGACGATCAATGGACAAAAATGAATATAATACATTTTTAAGCATAATTGGAACATGAAACTTCCATCAACATAAATTTTCATAAACTACTTTCTTCAGTAGTTAGATATTCTTTAGCAAACATTTTCATGCAATTTCTATGCATATTGTGCAGTCAATGAACTTAGATAAAGGCGACTCACTTTTATAAATTGCATTCCATTGTCAAATACCGTCTCTGCGTCTTCGCGTTGTGTATGTAAAATTAGAGAAGGGTGGTCGTATTCCGTTACTATGGAATATCGAACTGTCAATGGACGCCTGAAATCTTTTAAAGGAAATTGGAATATCATTGTGAGGAAATTTGAAATATAATTACACGCAGAAATTTACGCGTAACTAGGCGGATAACATTTCAGATGGCTGGGCTATTGAGAAACGTTTTCTCGAGAATAAAACGTTATTATCCTGTAATTATGACCCAGCTGAGTGCTTTGTTGTATACAACGCTGCGTCTGGCGGTTGGCTTTGATAATAATTAATGTTGCAATTAAGACTGAAGCTGCTTAAGTTTACCGAGACCCCTATTAGCATAGTTGAAACTCACTTCTGCTCCCGTAAAGTTTTATAAATGGCGCACGGGATGTTTGCTTCTAATAAGTTTTTCAAATTTGTTTTGCACGACACGATGAGCGACTGCGCAAAGAAATTTGCATTTAAAATAATAAACGGGGACATGCATCTCGATTTGCTCGGCGGATGCAAAGCTCTAACGGAGTAAAGATTTTTAAAAATACACTTTTTAAAGCTCGCACATTTCTTTAAAGACTCGCTCTGATTTCGCGATTTCATGTCAGATATTGAGTATTTAAAACTAAAAATGTTAAAATATTATACGTTTCATGGCAAAAAACAACACAAGCGTAGAAATTATCCGAATCAGGCCAGTAAAAATAGAATTTAACTTCGCACTAAATTACTGACCCAACTTTCTTCCTATGTACTTGTTTAGGATCACTAAATTCTACCGATCACAAAATTCTCACTGATACCGTTAGTTGCTACAGGCGCCATCTTGAAAAAACGTCTTTTTTTCCCCGATATCTCGGAAACTATATCCATTTTTAAATACCAATCTATTCTCCACAACTTTTATATGAAACTTTCTTCTCTAATGTCCATACTTTTTCCAAAAACCCCGACGCCAAAGTTTAGTAACGGCGCCATCTAGCCTATCTATGAATCTACGAATTTGTTACAATTAAAGTTAATTAATCTGTGACAGATATCGTATCCTAATTAATTGTGAAACAAAAACAAACGGGAGAATTAATGATCTAGATTTAGTTCATGTCCATGTCGGCAATATAACTCATTAAGAGGCTTTAGGGGGGAGTGAGGAAGTTCAGTTTATTTTTAGTCACATTGTTCTGTTTTTAGTTACACGACGTGAGGTCATTTGATAAAACCCAATCAAAAATGGAATTTAGCGGAGATTTAGGCGAAACAAAATGACCTGAAGGGATTTGTTTTGAATATAAACTTCAACAGTTCATTGTATTTGAGAAAGTGAAATAAAATACGAGTAGCACAAAAAGTATGATGACTGTTATACTGAAAACCACCGCTCTTCATCAAAACCATCGATTATTACATTTTGATTTAATTTAATAAATTTTCTAGAATGTAACCAATAATAATCGATTATGGCGTCTAAAAATAAAATGTAAAATATTGCCTGACAATGTAATAAAATTAATCTTCTGCATCATAATCTTGCACTTCTAAATTCTGATTTCGTGTCTCCAAAATTCAAATGCTTTTTTTTGTTAACTTTTTTTTGTTAAACTGCCCACCGTCATTATAGGAAATTAACGAGAGTACGCAATGTTCATATACCCCCACCGGATTTATTACTACGCATTTATTTGGCTATTTTAGTAAAAATAGCAAAAGGTTTTAATCCAAAATTAAACGAACCTCGACGGTGGAGTTTTCAAAACGAGCAATTCCTACTCGCTTGTAGTTGCATACAAATAAGTTTATACCCGGCAAACAGTGTATAGATTTATTGCAGACTACTCGCGCACATTTAAAGATTTGACAAAAGTTTTAATCCATTACATACTGGTAAGCGCAGCAAATACCAACCGGACACAAACGCGAACGTCATTTGATAGTCGACGAAAAATATCTACCCACGTGTATCACACCAGTTCGCCCTGACACACCATAGTAGTTAAACGCACGCATGGTGCGCGTCGGAGGGTCCAAACCCGTGGGTTTTCAAAACGCCAATTAGCGTTCAATTACTTGCAAGCTTCGAAGCAACGCGTCGCCAGAAGTGCACAGTCTGTCATTAATTTAATGTGTAACTCGGTAATGTCACTTGAGCCGCATCGATAGTACTCTCATACTATTAAAGGGACTCATTAAATATGTTTTTTATCGCCCGCTCGTAAGACGTACGTAAGAGAAAGTTACGATTTCTATACTATTGATGATAACAGGACGGAAAATAATATAATAGTTATTTCAATATGCTGAACACGAAATTCTCATCAATGTATAATATTTTCAAAACCTACTATATTCCGTCATGAGATATTCTTAAGCAAACATTTTCTTGAAGTTTCTATGCATATTGTGTGGTCAATGAACTATGACTCTTACTTTTATAAAATGAATTTCAATGTCCGTTTCTAAAAAAAAAAACAGATTTCGTCTCTATGTCTTCGCGTAGTGTATAGTAAGTACATAGTGCTTTGTGTTTTTGATTGAATTACCATAAGTTTTTTTTTTTTTTTTTATGCAAGATTAATAGGGTAATTTTTATTTAAATTGTTTACCCAGTCATACTTTATATTCAGATAATAATTAAGAGTCGAGCAGAAGGCCCACATTTGTGTAACAAAGCAATAATAAAGTCGTTAAAAATAATATCAGATTTCATTATACCACTTCAGTGTGCATATAATAAATGTATTGCAATGTTTTAATTTTTAAAATGTAAAACGTAATGGAAAGTAATAACTAATCGATTACCTCGATATTTATAATACCAAAATAAGAAGACATAAACATTTAATTCTACAAATAAAAATCAATTACGCCAACGGCCATCACATAATTTTAACCAAAAGCAAGGAAAAAGATAAGATATTGCTTTAAACTGCATTAATGTTATAACCTTGATTATTTTAAAACAACGTCGCGTTCTTTAAACCGCAAGTAGAAGATACGCCACATGACGCTTCCGTGTCGTGCCATTTAAAGCAGTTTATTAACGGGGGTATGTCAATGGGTACAGCGACAGGTCAGAATGCACAGAGAGTACATACAAACGTCCGAGCGCAGCGGCTGACGCGTGGGCGAAGTGTGCCTTAGTGACAGCGCGACGCTCTGCGTTTATTAAGCAGGAGAGAGTCCCTAACTAGGGCTCCAATGTGTGTTGAATTATAAACACTCCCAGTGCACTGTCGCGAACTTTAAACGTCATACGTGCATAACCAATATATTTCGAACAAATTATTTGTTTATAGAGCGTTTTCAGAGCAAGCATAAAGCGTCTTTATTGACGTTTTCAATCATAAAAATCCAAATGCCTTCCTAAATAGCTGTTTGTTTGTCTTCATTAGATCTAGGAATCAAATTTGCTTACGTTTATCATGTAAACGTAGTTATGAATATAATTCATAATACTTAGATATATGAATTATATTGACGATGTATGTATACAAAAAGTAAGTGATGTTAACTAACTAAAATAACCTATTTTAAAACAAAGTCAACATTTCTATATATCAATATAAGATTTTTTACGTTCAATAAGAGCTTAAAATATTAAGCTCTTATTGAACGTAAAAAATCTACCAACCGGTTCAATAAACAAGGCCTGACCAGAGAAGAACAGGCAAGAAACTCTGCGGTCTTGTTATATTTTTTTTTCGATAGTAATAAGTAGTAGTAGATAGTAGTAAGTTGTAGTTAATGAGATATGTAAACGGCAGCAGACAGGGAATCGCAGGACTCGCAGATAGCGCGGCAAGTATTTAACCGTAGAAGTTTGAATATTATAACGATTGGCCTCTTCAAAAACAACGATGACTCTTAAGATGAAGGAAGTAATAAAATTTGCAATTACGTAAAGCAATTACAAATGCCGTAAATTAAGTCCACAATTAATAAATTGTTTCAACTGTAACTATTACATAGCATTTTAGCGCACAAATCTTCAATGTGGTTCTTTATGTTGATTTAACTTTTTTATTAATGAACTGATTTAAATAAAACTAACACTAAATGTTAAGTGAAACTTACAATGCATTAGTGAAAGTTGCAGAAAGCGCACAAAAGCACAGACAAATAGAACAAACATTGTGTTAGATTCTACTGCGTTGATAAAGTGTACTATTGGGGATCAATAGTACTTTTTCTCAAATATCTTCCATGTACACACAACCTTTAGTTACATTTCTATTATATGTATAGATTATAAATAATGAATTTTGCTTTGAGATTTCTTTTGCGTTTTCCCCTTTATCTCGTCAGATATCAAGAAAAGCGCCGTAACGAGGGTTCAAACGCTGTAAGAACCCACCCGTACTTAATGTCTCGTCTTTGATATTTTTCCCGTTAGTATTTTGGATGTATTTTCATAACTTCATCATTGTTTACTTTTTATTCCATTATTACTTATGATATAAATCAGTATGTCGCCTTTACAGACATAAAAAGCCAATCGTAAAATTCCTTAACTCGAGTTTAACAATATGGCCTTCTAAAAAGTCTCTCGTAATGTTTGTAAATAGTTCTCCTTTTACTCATGCTTCATATTTAAACCAAGCGTCTTTGAACTTAATTGAACGGTACCAGTGATTAAAAATTAATAACAAAAATTATCCGCATATCTTATCATTGGCAATTTTAATTAAATACTAGCTAACACACACACACGCACGCACGCACGCACGCACGCACGCACGCACGCACGCACGCACGCACGCACGCACGCACGCACGCACGCACGCACGCACGCACGCAGCAACACACACACACACACACACACACACACACACACACACACACACACACACAGTTATGGCGTTGTTTAAATTTATTCCAATATACTAAATGATGGTGATCAAGTGACTGCATCAACTATTGTAATGTATATTTTGACAAATACTTCGTTATTCGTCGCAATGGGCGACAACGGCGCGCATAGTTCCGACATTCATAATGGAATTTCTTCTTCCAGCGCCGCTGTATTTGAAGGCGACGATATTGGAAGCGCGCGCCGCAAGCTGACAGTGTACAAAGCGAATTTGAAGGCGACAAGACGAAAATATCGACGAGAAGTCGAAATACGCCGACAGCTGGAGCGAGTGCCTGGAAGCGAGCTTTCTTTAAAAATGATTTGTATATTTGACTTTTCTTTTTATACTTATAAATTCAAATATAAAAAGAAAAGTCAATGGGGCAGATGGCTATAGAAATGCGTCCTGTTTATATTAACAATCGTATACTCTTTTGAATCTAACGTTTTGACAAAACATTTATTCCGTATTTTTATTTATTTATTCGCTTAACATAACTGACATAGCTTTAGTAAATAGGGCAGCGGTAAATATTATAATAAAATAATTACGCAAATATCAGTGTTGAAATAATCTAGACGCGAATGCACATCGTTTCTGTCGCTGCAAGTCGTTTTTTGAAATAATGTGCTTGTTGATGAGTTCGTAGCGGAGTTGCCAAGATGTTAATTTCAGCGCTGGAGTTCCAACTATTTGTGTGACCCACAAATAGCTGTTACGCATCTGGGTGTTTGTCCACGTTAAATTTATGTATGTAAAACTTCCTTACAACGCAGCATAATGTTATATTACAGTAAGGGGGCAATGTCTTCGAAAGGGAAGCCTCCACTAAATAGATCTTTCTATGTCGCCGTGAGACATCCCCCCAACTACCCAACCCCTTCGACACAAAATACGAATACAAATACAGAGTGCTTGTTCATACATTTGCCCATACTAATTGGATAGAAGTCGCTAATTAATCTCGTAAGTCTGTGCTGGATGACGTATATAATTTGCCTTAATTTAAAACCAAACTCGTCCCAACTATAAAACGTTGATAAATTATCACGATGAGCAACGAGATAGTCTCTTATTGCAGCCACGTGTCACAGAGATAAGGGAGTTACGCATCCTGCACTCCGACACCCTGCAATTATTAACAACTGTAAAATAAAACGAGCGAAATGCGCTGCTATTTGATATACCGAAACCTTTATATTAATGGTAAGCATGCAGAATTATTTTTAAATTTTTTACATTCATACTATGTCCGTATTCTATATTTGTTTCTCAAACGAAATATAAGACTTAACGTTGGCTACTGATTTCTGAAAATTAATCTTAAATGTTTCACATTTTTTCCCCTTTTTATAAACTCATCCGAACCTAATTTCTGTGGGAAGCAGATAAAAAATTATTAGGATCCTCCCATCCGTTAACGCTGCAAAGTTTTTATCTTATTATAAGAAATTTAACGCCTCTTAAGAATGTTAACTATAACATTTTGACAGGCGCCTAATATTAATTTATTAGGAAAAACGAACAGTAACCCGTTTCTTTGGGTAACGAGAACATTAGTAAATAAAATTAATTACCGATGTTTCAACGTTTAATTGTAGTATCGGTGATTTACCGACGTTTTGGACACTACGGAGGCGATATGGAGTTGACGATTGCAGATTCCCGACGATTCGCGAATATTTTAAAGACCTGTCCAAACGGTTCTTAGATAGAGCCGAACATCATCCTAACCCTCTGGTGGTAAGTGCAACAAACTACCAACCCGACACAAATGCGAACGTCAACAAGCGTCGCCCGCGAAACGTCCTCATCGACCCGGTCGAGGAAGGGGATTTAGATACGTCGAACACACCGTCGGTGGTCCTGCCGGATAACACTACACCCACAGCTAGTGTAACAACAAACACAATAATTCGCCCTCGCCTCCGAGCACGGCGAGACCAACACAACGCGTACACAAGGTACACCCGCGTTCCAGGGCGGTTCTCACCGCCCCCAGTCACCGATTAGCTAAAAACACAGTCGACGGCCATCGGGGTCCCGGTCCGAACTGCAACCTCGATCGCCCTTAGATAACATACCATAGTTAAACGCACGCTTGAGCACATGCGCGGCCCTACCCACAGCGGAGGGCCCAAACCCGTGGGTTCTGGCTAGCCTACCGGTTTTGCGTCAGATGAAGCTTTAATAGTCTCGGGACTGAAAGCAAAAAGATCAGTTAATACAAGATACAAGACAGGAGTCTATGGTCACGGGACAGACTTTTCTTTATGTGCAATGTTGCCAAGCGAACAGACGGTTCACCTGATGATAAGTGAATACCGCCGCCCATGTTCATCTGCTACACCCGGGATGGTTCAGGGTTGCAGATGCTTTGACAACCTTTTGAAAATTGGACTCCGGCTACCTCACTCACCAGACGAAACGCGAAAGTATTATACTTCCACTTTACGCCGGTCTTCTGTGATATCGTGGTTCTAACCCAGACGAGCCTGCCCATTCTTGCAACAGCCGAGGCTGCTGCGTGGCCCTACCACCTTTACCGTTAGACTTAGACTATAAATGTTTTACCTCAGTAGCAGTTAATTCGGGCTAACTTTTGTCTTATCTACACAGTTAAACCACGTTCGGTGGCTGGGTGCCAGCATATACTCGAGTAACCTGAGTTCAAATACCGGTGCCGGTACCGATGAAATCGGTAATTGCCATTTTGAGTGCTGACTCTGCTGACACATCACGTGCTCAACGGTGAAGGAAACCATCGCAACCCTGCGCTCATATGGCGATCAGTACTTGAGAGTATAGGTATTTAGATCGTCTAATTAGCAATATCACAAAGACTGAAAAGGCCGAGTTAAACCTTAGCGGTGCCCTTGGGCTCTAAAAAAAATGTCACCCGATCACCGAAAGTTAGTATAATTTAAATTTTTATTGTGTTTACACTCATGAGTAGCAACGTAGTCCCTAGTAAAATCGTTCATTACCCCTAATCCTGGATCACCGCCTATAACATATTCTCTAAATGCAATCTCTTCCATATTCTTGGTGTAAACATTTCAGCGGACAATTTATCAAATTCGTGATACTGAAGCTTTTTTCACAACTTTATGGATGAAATTACTCACACTGGATATAATGAACAAAAGCTCTTTTTTTGTTATAAATTAAAGATGTTTTTTTTCTACACAATTACAATTAAAGCATTTTCTATAAAGCAAAATAATTTTATTTTCCCATATGAACGGCCCCCAAAAATGCCAAATGCCGCCCTTGGAACTAAACCACAGTGCCCCAAATGCATATCCAGCGCTGCTTATTAGGTTTATTATTGCGTACAGCAAATGAAATTGATGGACAGTTTCACATTTAGTGAAGTATTGTGTAGTCATACACATATGACAAAATAGTAAGAATGTTGATATTACGATTTTTTTTATCTGAGAAGTTGTCAAGCGAGCAGGCTCTTAACAACTTTTGATATACAAAAAAAGATAAACTCGTAATCATGCTATTTTTTAAAATGCAGCACGGAAGTTGCTGGCGTATATATTAGCGCTAAGGTATTCTCGGCTTGGCGTAAGTAGCTACTAAAGGGGTCACGAGGATCAGGAATTAGGTTCTCGTGCTACGAAGTGAAGTGAACTTCAGGGGGGTGGGCAATACGGACCGGTGCACTGCTGAGGCGGGTGCTGGGGGAGAGATTGCTTCTCCCCCTTTGGGTGAGATCATGCCCATTGCAAGCGGTTGTGTTAACAAGCGACTTTTGTTGCAGAGTTTCGTTGCCCTGATGTAGAAGAATGCAGCGATCTTCAATTGTTTAATTTATTAAAATATGTTATGTTTAATTTATTTCAACTCGTTAAAAGTTGAGACGGGACAAACTTTACAATACTAATCATTAGCCGCTCCTCAACGATATTCTAATTTATTTGTTTATACCTTACGCTACGATCGCTTGCAAAATAGCGGCCCATTTGATGATGGAAATTAGTTGCACGAGGGGTGACAAAGTTCAGACGCGTGTTCCAGAAAAGCAGCTGTACCAAATATTCTAGAAACACACTCTTATTTGCTTTCGGTCAGAAATGACGTTGGCGACAACTGATTCCACAAAGAATTCGGTGAACTCTTTAAAAGCACACGGTGGTGGATTGTTGCAATATACATTTTCAGTAAGTGAATCCAAACAATTTCTCGAAATACATTCCATCACCATCATGATCACTAATATTTCGACGTAAACAACACACACACACACACACACATGCGCACACGCGCACGCACATTTTTATTCTATCTCCTTATACGGTTACTTACGACAATTTATTGAATGTACAATTATTTCAGCTTTGTTAACTATGCTTAACTTGATTCCGTAGAGTGAGGACCTGTTGATCTGTAATACAGGTTTTTACACCTATAATAGACACCAGCTCCGCACAATTATCTGATAAAATTTTTACGTAAGCTGTACCAACTTATGACATTGTATCTTGTTGTCATGTATTGTGAGGAGAAATAAAATACATAATTATTATTATTCCGTGGTATTTGATAAAAAAATATAAGGAAGTGCTTCGTCTTTCGTCAAACCAAACTACCGAGCTGATTGGGGAGAACTTGGTCGTCGACGACACGATGAACTCGGAGCTTGGCTTTGAAGATTTAAAGTTATGAATAGAAAGTTTGTCGGTAGTTACGCTGTAAAAAATTTGCAAATGCTCGTCAGATTATTGAAAGGTTAACCCTCCTTTACATTAACGGAATAAAAATGGGATGAAGTTCAATGCATTGATTTTAAAAAGTTATAAATATAAATATACGCAGAAAATTAACGAAACTATCTTGCCCCTCTTTATGTTTTAATGTGAAACAATGATTTAACGTAAGGTACACTAAAATTCATTGTTACGTTCAAGTTAGATATGAACGCTTCACCACAGTCTGTAGCTATCACTGCCTCTCAATACCGATTATAATACTTATATAAAAAGCACGAAAAATTATAAGATGAAATTCAACAACAACTAATTTAATGTGATAAGCGTAAGTTATGTTATAATTTAAAAACTTTTCTGTGCCATGTCAAAATACTTACATTTATTCTCGTGTTGAATTAGTTCCGTTAACTTTTACTTTGATGAAATCTCAATTACCCGCCGAAGGGTCAGACACCTAATTAGGCAATAAATTATTCAAACAAGTTCTCGCTGCCTCGATGTAAACTGGTCATGAAGATAGATAAAATAAATATCGAGTGTTCTCTATCAAGCCATGAGAAAAGTCAGAAACGCACGAAATACGAATATAAACATGAATTTGTAATGGTGTCTGTCGGCGAGGCCTTGAACCCGCTACACGTTCATTGCCAACGAATCGCAAAATCGAACGATAGTTTGCGATTGGTTTGGGAAACAGATATCTTTTTGCAAATTGATATGTTCGTGATTATATTTGCTGATATGTTCGCATAATTATTACGTAATTAAAATCTACGATCGCTAATTAAGAATCCGTCACGGCATTCGTTAAACTAATTATTTATATATGTGCGTTAAGAAATACTCACTCTTTAAATTGTCGCGTTGTGTCTCCATCGCAAAGCTGTGTAAATATTTAATTACGCTCGGTCAGTGAACTAGTGGTTATCATTTGGTATTGAAACAACGTTCGAGATAACAGTATGGTTATGTCTTTCGTTCATAAATCCAAGAGATCATGTTGTTTGATTTTTATCCATAATGTTTTCCCGCGTCATGTGCAGCACTGTACGCGTTACCGTACATATTAAATAGACATACGTACGTATTTTGTCTCTAAGATGCTTGCACACCACGCTCACTGCGATTGACTGACACGGAGAGTATTAGACAATATTAGATAATATTAGATCCTTTCGATGGCGTCTTTTTGCTTAAATAAAAACGGTGCAAATCTAAGAATTCAAAATATGTTTAAATTACTTTCCTTTCTTCTGAAACAAAGTAAACATGGATAAATATTGTCCTTCTGGTCTAATGTAAATCCAATTATTTGGGTGTTTTATTAGAATATCTATGATGGCCAATCATAGGCTAACTTCAAGAAGTACTTGTTGCGTAGTATGAGTGGCTCTCAATAAATTCTAGCTAACTACTCGAGCGCGTAGATAAAATTTTATCATTGCAGTAAAACGCGGGTAACATTAACCCAATTTTTATTTTTATTAACGTCTAATATCATTCTATTTCTACGTCTAACAGTAAGATAATTGTATAGTAGGGAATCATATACCGTCGTCACAATCTCAGTGCGTAAGTAGATTTCAGAATAAGCGGCGAGCGAAGCGTGCGCCTGCGCTAGTTGGGGCTTGCTCTGGTAGCGGTCGAGTTGCCTGTCTGTGATCTCCACGGAGTGATCAATTTTCATCTCGTCGATTTCACGTCGATTTTATTCGTGACACAGACGTCCGTATCGAAGTAAGTAATTTGATAAATATAAAATCTCACGTATCGACTTTTCAATCGATCTAATATGTTTTGCATCACTAGACAGAGAAACCTGTTATTGTTTTAATGTGCTTTCATGTTGCATCTAAACCGGAAGGGATTTATTTGCCCTTTCACTGCAATTATTTTTATGCAGTCAATGAAAGAAGGTGCGACACAGGCATCTAGCGATAAATTATCCGACATAATGTTTTTGCATTTATTCCTTCATAACTATAAATAAAACAGTGCATATTTCATAAATTCCTTCGAAGTAAATTCCTGTGAATTCTAAAATTACAGGATATAATCCTGTAATTTTTGTTTAATTGTTATTTCATGCTCGGAATTTTTAAGTAAAGTGAATAAAGATATTTATTATTTTATAACAAAGGAATTTAGTCCATGTTTTGTTTTTATAAATTGAGTAACTCGGAAAATCGAAAGCTTTATGAACAGTCAATTCCGCCAGTAAATTATTGCTGGTACAATAATATTTTTTAGAATGATTAAACATCAGAAATATCGATTACCGGTTTAATCTTATCCTTTAAACGAGCAATTCTTGTATATATATATATATATATATATATATATATATATATATATATATATATATATATATATATATAATCGGAATTCCGGAAACGGCTCCAGCGATTTTCATGAATTTTAGTATATGCGTAGATTTGGGGGCGAAAAATCGATCTAGCTAGGTTTCATTTTCAGAAAATGTCCTTTTATCCCTGTTTTCAGGGAATGAAAAATATTATTCGAATATGACGGTAAATTTCGCCGCAAGAGAAAATGTCATAATAGCTCGGTCGGTAATCGGGCGGCTCCAAAACAGAAGGCCGTGGTTCGCGTCACCATCATTTACACATTTATTTTTTTACTTTTTTTTCGATTCCAGATCATTGCTTTCTTTATTTTTAATTTTTTATCGATTTCTTTTTTTGTTTTTTTTTTTCCCTTTTTTTAAAAGTTCTTTCTTTTGAGAAAAAAATCAGTTCATATTTTCTTATTATTAAGTCGATAAAATCGAAAAATATTATGCATATTTCATTACTCAGTAATTTGTATCTAAATGTAATTTCCAAAAAACACGATTTACCAAAAAAAAATAAACAAACCGAGCAAAGCTCGGTCCTCCGGGTACTTCTTTTTATGCTCCAAGATTGCTCAACAAATTGGTAAAAGTGACAAGTCATTATAGGTAAACAAAGTGGTGAACATTAATCATCATGTCATCAAGTGTCACTGTTTTATTAAATTACTTATGTAATTATTATTCAATTAATAAATATGTAATGTTTTAATATTTCAAAAATATACTATCTTAAAAAGAAATAGACATGTGGTATGGTGATAAAAAATATACTGGTAAAAAATGAAAAGAGTTACAGTTTGTGTGCTACCCAACATTCAATCCATAGATAAGACATATATACTGAAATTTGAGATTCAATCCCTAAAAATATACACATATTAAGGTTTAAGAGAGTTGAAATTTTTAGACGTCTTTCGCTATCGTGTATTTATCCGACATGGCTTATTTTGTTACGGCTGAATAAAATAGATTTTACATAACAGAATTTACAACACTATAAAATTTTAGTCTCTGATGTTTTCATAATATAATGTAAACACTACAAAAATGTTTATTTTACTAAATATATAGAAATTAAAATACTAATATTTACTGGCACTGTTAAACGAACCCGATAATTGCCTTATTTTTAACCCATCTCTAAATTTAATTAATCGCAAATATATCAAACGAAGTTAAGATAAAGACAGCTCCATAGAAGAGATATCACACTCATATCTTTTTCTTAGAGAAGCAATGGCTTTTACAAAAGTGCATAGAGATAGCGTGATATTCTACTAAAAAAATATAGTACCAAATAATTAAGGAAAGAAGGAAGATGGCTATTTGTGGCTATTCTTTGGGTCAGCTTGAATCGTATTGCGGTAGAACCTAGCGGCGGTTCTTGCTGACCCATGAATAGTTCGGTCCGACCGGAGAAGTACCACAGCCTCAATGAGTAAAAGAGATTTTGCTTGCGTTGTAGATGAAATGATTCGCCTTCGAAAGTACACCTTCGTGAAGGTTTGCAATTTCAAATATTTTGTGTATCTACCCTAATAGCATAGGCCCATTACAATGTCCAAGAATACATTGAGGACAAGGATGTGTGAAAATGACTCTTGCTCTGGACTTTCAAGAACCCTGGCTGCTGTATATTTTATACCTAAATAAGTTTGTATCATTGAATCCCAAAAAAAAAAAAGAAGAGACTGCAGATTTTCTTGCCGCTTCTCTGTTCATGTCTTTTTTAGTGAACTGATGGTACTTTTTTTTTTGCCGTTCAATAAGAGCTTAAATTAAGCCTATATTGAATAAAGAAATTTAGACTTTTGAGTTTTTGACTATTGAATTCCCCTGTACTGGTATTACAGAGGTCCACAGGGGGAATGACCACATACTAACATCTAATATAAACAAATAAAAGACTGAGACTTATCAAGGAAAAGTTAATAAAAAGATGATGGAAAAGATGAAAAACTTTAGACCTCAAGTGTCAAACGTATGGTAATAAATATATGCTAATAAACAATACGTTTGTAAGTTATATTTTCATAAACGATTCGATGCAATTACCTTCGCAACGTCTTATACGAAGATTTATTTTTCTGTAAGGACCGAAAGAAAATTTTAATGCAGCATTTCTCTCATAACGTACGTACAAATAATGAATACGAATGTAAAAGACGCGACTGGCGCTTCACACAGCCAGCCATATTAATTTAAATAAACTAAGCTCAAAAGCTCTGTTCGGCTTGTCCTGTGCCGCTCTTAAGTCGCATTATAAGCTTTTTAACATCAACTACTTATCTCCTAATCTAAATTATTTGTGTGTTAAATTAAGTGGCCAGCCAGAAGGCATTCATTAATAAGTGTTAATGGAAATAGTATTTATCCGGTCGTGAATCTTATTCTGTATAGAACAAAGTCTTGAATTATTAGCTAATGTTTTGCAGGGCAATTGTTTGTTTTGTTTTTAACTGACTCCATTATTTATATTAAAAATATACAAACAAATCATAAAAGAGACATTTATTAAATGCACAATGAACTTCAAAATCTGGTAGAAAAACGATTGTCAAATTTTGTCTGTCCCAATCACCAAAGCTAAAACTTTCTTATCTAACAAAATCTAATCAAACGCTGAGCGGTTTTAAAAGCATGTCAGTAACGTGTTTCGTTGATTTATATAACAAAAGTACAGAGCTGCTCGCGGATTTATCCATACATTTTTTTTTACCCAAAACCTGGCCTGCGCTTGAACTGATGATCTGATATCGCACTAGCTCAATAACAGCCTATTTAATCTTTCCTTGAAAACATTCAATATTATCGGACGGGTAAACTGACGCTGGCGAAGTGTGGCACTCCATTGCTGAGGAGTGGAATCCGAGCTCTGTGTTACACACAAATTATAATAGTGGGCGCGGACTAAAATATTAACATCTAAGGGGGCTAATATACCTGCGGGGTCACATTACCGCCTTCTCCTGTACTTTATCACGTTCTTAACTTATACGTTCTCTCTCTGAGACGCTCTGCATTTTTTATACTCCTTATGAAATTTTGCGAAAGTTTTTAAGCGCAGAAGACCGGAGAGCACTCTAAATTTCTTTGGTACAGGCTTACGATGCCGCAATTTATATTTTCTAAGCCAACAGTTCTTCTGCCTTACAGGCACATCCGAAAAATTTCATTGTAATTGCGCTTTCGAGTTGAAACTTGTATTAGACTTCGCTTAGAGAATAATCTTATTAACTTCCATAAAATGATTGAAACTTATTATTTTAAGAATATTTTAACGTTCGAAATTAACATAACCCATCGGCATCTTATAACATGCATATAAGACAATCTGTCAAACTTTTCTCTTTTCCTTCGTCATTTAATGAAATGTAAGTTTATGTGGTGACGAAATTTATTCGCCCGTGGAAAATTCATTCGTCAAAGTTATGCCATTGAGTAAAACTACTACGAGTAAAAAGTTGATGAGATGAAATACCCTATGCAGAAGAATAAGAAAGAAGAAAAATTTTACTCCTTTGGCGAAATTGGAGCGCTGCGTTAAATTGTGATAGCACAAATACCAAACTTATGATAGTTAAATGCTAACAATGGGTAATAAACGAAAAGAGGTCTTGGTAAGTGCGAGATTTTGGTGCACGTATTAAAGACACCATAATGACTCTAATTTCAGAGTATTCTCCTTTCTACAACAGTTGGTCTAATTGCAAAGAACATCGGATTAGTATACTTTGGTCCTCTAATTCTTCAGACTTAGAAGTAGCATGTTAAAATGAAAAATTATTTCAATTCTGACTATACGACTGTACCGATTTCCATATTGTTTACATGTTTCTTACCTTTAATATTTTATGACATAAAGATCATTATTTTTTACATATCTTGAATAAACACTTTGTATGTTTATAAATTTAGCTTCGCAAATCGAGAGGCATTGGCTGAAAATTTTCACAGATGTGTATGCAAACGACTGATATCAGTATGTCGCAACGGTTTTAATAAAAATACGGTACGACGTTCAGCGCTGCCATTTCTTTTTGGATTTTCATGTTATCTTTGTCGACGTTTTTCCTATAGTTATTTAGCTATATTAGTTACAGTTAACTCTAAAAATCTGCACACTAATAAACAAAACATTTGGTAATAGTTTTCATAAAAAATAAATTTGATTATGAATTAATTTAAACAATTGAAATTATTTGAAAGAGCTTCTCAACTAGGTTGTTATATTTTCGTCATTTCATAACTTTTTACGTAACGCGGCAGAGATTTAGTAAGCTCGGTCAGCTTGTGCAGCATATTGTATACAGTAACATCCTCACGGATCA